GAAGAGCTGAGGGACAGCGCCCAGGCCCAGAGTTCAGGCCCCACGACCGGACTCAAACCCCCCCCCCCCAAAAAAAAATTCCTAGACTTGGGGCTGGGAAGGTGGCTCAGTGGTAGAGCTCTTGCCTTGCATGCATGAGGCCCTCAGCACCACATAAGCAGAAAAAAAAAAGCCGGAAGTGGCGCTGTGGCTCAAGTGGTAGAGTGCTGGCTTGAGCTGAAGAGCTGAGGGACAGCACCCAGGCCCAGAGTTCAGGCCCCATGACCAGACCACAAAAAAAATAAAATAAAAATAAAAAAGAACAATTCTACATCATTGAACACAGACCCATTATATAAAAAAAAAATCTCCTAGACTTTTCTGCCCAGCTTGGATTTGAACCTTGATCTTCCAGGTCTTAGCCTCCTGAGTAGCTTGATTAAAGGTATAAGCTGCAAGTGTCTGGCCTCACGCAGATGCCTTTGTGTGTGCCAGTTCTGGGGCTGGACCTCAGGGCCTGGACGCTGACCTTGAACTTTTGTGCTCAAGGCTAATGCTCTATCACTTGAGCCACAGCTCCACTTCTGGCTTTTTGCTGGATAACTGGCAATAAGTTTCTTCTGCCAGGCTGGCTTTGAATGGCAATCCTCAGATCTCAGCCTCCTGAGTAGCTAGGATTTATAGGTGTGAGCCATCGACTCTGGCTGGGTAGATATATTTTTACTGCCGATGAGTTCATCAGACTCTGTTCTTGGCTACACTTGGCACCTGGCTCCTAGCTCAATGTTCAGTAAGTATTTATTCAATGAGGCAATTGTTTCTGAGAAAGCCAACATGACTGCCAGGTACAGGCTGCAGAGAGCTCAGAACACTGCTGGTGACAGCAATTCAACATGGAGGGACACAAGTACCAATGACACCTCCACGAAGAACAAGACTGTTCATGAGGCACAGACGCCTCAAGCAATGAGATGTCCAACATCGCTGCACAATTCTCTACACCATATACATTTATGACAGGCTAAGGGGGGACAAAGAAATGCTATGTCAGTACTAGGTCAGACATCTAGAAACGTCTAGGTTTTGGGGTTTTTCTTGGGGGGAGGCTGAGCAAGTGGGATTTTAACTCAGCACCTCACATTTGCCCCGCTTGCTCACTAACATGATCCTCTACTACTTGAGTCATGCATCCAGACCCACCTTTTGCTGGTTATTTTGGAGCTGGAGTCTCATGGAGTTTGGGGTTTTTGTTTTGTTTTCTTGGCCTAGGCTGGCTTTGAACCACCATCCTCAGATCTCAGCCTCCTGAATATCTAGGATTACAGGCGTGAGCCAATGTTGCACTTGGCATTTATTTGAAGGACTGTTCATGGATATTAGCAGTATCAATTTGCTCTTGCCTCAACAATCTCTATGTTTGAAACGACAGCCTCTTCACACGTTTAAAATATTTTAGTCTTGGGCTGGGAAGGTGGCTCAGTGGTAGAGCACTTGCCTTGCATGCTCAAGGCCCTGGGTTCGATTCCTCAGCACCACATAAGCAAAAAGAAAAAAGCCAGAAGTGGCGCTGTGGCTCAAGTGGTAGAGCGCTAGCCTTGAGCTGAAGAGCTGAGGGACAGCGCCCAGGCCCAGAGTTCAGGCCACGACTGGACCCAAAAAAAATATATATATATATTTTAGTCTTACTTCATCTATCATTTTATAAATTATAATCCCTACATAATTACACATTATATTGACTCTGCAATTCTTCTAGGAACTAGGTTCCTCTATTTTTTTTCTTCCATTTACTTTTTATCACTGAATGCTTCCTCCCTTTCTCTATGAATAAAACAATTTTTCTCCCCCACACTGTCCTGAACCGAGGCTAGAAACCCAGCCAGTAGCTGCTTCCCTCCTGTAAAACACAAAGTATGGGGCGGAACATAGGAGTTGATTGAAACGGATAAAGAGCAGGAAATCCAGAGCGAGGGTAAAAGCGACTCCTGACATTGTCCATTGTTCCTTGCTACACTGGGGCCCTCATCATGCTAGGCAACCTCCTATCGCATCTGGACTAAATACCAACCCTCAATGCATCTATTTAGGGCACATGTAGCTTCATCTTTGGGTTTCCAGATTCAAATCGCTGCTGCCTTTTCTTAGTCCTTTTCTAAAGTGGCAGCTTTTCTAAGAGGAGTGAAAGAAAAGTGGGTTTCAAATAAAGATGGAAGGTCCAGAATAGTGCACTGTGGATAAAAGGACCTTTGAAGTTTACATTTAGGAGATCTAGCTGCCCTGAATGTGAACATTGTCCTATGATCGAATAAGGTTTAAAATTTGTCAAATAAAAAATAATAGTAACACTAGCCTATAGCTCTCTAAGCTATCATTACTCAGCTGTATAGCAAAATGCAGAAGTTTAATACTCAGATTTACTTATAACAAAGACCTCCCCCATCGCAACAAAGAAATCGGGTATGAGGGCTCATGTCGGTCCTAGTTCTCCGGCCCCTCCCAACCGCCATGGCTCTGTACCTGTGTTGGGCCATGGGAACAGGCCAGTGTGCCAGGCACACTGAACTCCTGGGCTCAGGGACTAACACCTGAATCTCTGTCCCACACAAGGGAACAAGAACCGGTAATCATTGTTGAATATTGCAAATACTATTCTGCAATGACCTTTCACAATAAATCGCAGTACATTTTAAAGGACTTTAGTGTCCACTCTCCCATCCCCCTCCCCAAAAGCAGCTCAAATTGAGGCCAAGGGTTGTGGATTAGTCATAGGATATCTGCCTAACTTTTTTTTTTTGGGGGGGGGGGTTGCGGGGATCAGTCTTGGGCCTTGAACTCTGGGCCTGGGCACTGTCCCTGAGCTCTTCAGCTCAAGGCAAGTGCTCTACTACTTGAGCTACAGCGCCATTTCTGGTTTTCTGGTGGTTTATTGGAGATGAGTCTCAGGGACTTCTTGCCCTGGCTGGCTTTGAACTGTGATCCTCAGATCTCAGCCTGGTGAGTAGCTAGAATTACAGGTGTGAGCCACCAGCACCCTGTCTTTGCCAAACATTTTTAAGGCCCTGAGTTCCATCCCCAGTACTTTTTTTTGTGTGTGCCAGTCCTGGAGCTTAAACTCAGGGCCTGAGCACTACCTCTGAGCTTTTGTGCTCAAGGTCAGTGCTCTACCACTTGAGTCACAGCTCTACATCCAGCTTTTTGGTGATTCATTGGAGATAAGAATCTCATGGACTTTCCTGCCCTTGCTGGCTTCTAACCTGAGTCCTAAGACCTCAGCCTCCTGAGTAGCTAGAATTATAGATGTGAGTCACCGGCACCCAGCATCCCAGGACTGAATTTATATAAAACTAAAATTGTAAAATTAGAAGAAAATACAGGAGCTATCTTTATGATACTAGATTTAGTAATAATTTCCTTACTATAGGCAACAGCGTTTAGTCCACAAAGGAAAATTACCAGATAAATTAGATTTAACAAAATTGAAATTTTTTGCAAAGGACTGTTAAGAGTAAAAAAGGCAACTCACACAATGGAAGCAAATATTTGCAAATCATTATGTCATAAGGAATATTCAAAATGTAAAGAACTCTTAAAAATCAACAACCAACAAAAAAAAGGCCAGGCACCAGTAGCTCATGCTTGTAATCCTGGTTGCTCAGGAGGCTGAGATCTGAAGGTTTTGGTTCAAAACCAGCGTAGGCAAAAATATCCAAGAAACTCCTATTTCCAGTTAACCCCCATAAAGTTCAAAGTGGAATTGTGGCTTAAGTGGTAGAACACTAACTAATGGGCAGTGCTCAAGCTCTGAGTTCAAGTCCCAGTACTAGTAATAAATAAATAATACATTATCCATCAATTCCATTTTTAGGAATAGACTGAGACCCCAGTACTAGCACTAAATAATATTTCTATTTCATCACTTCTATTTCTAGGAATAGATGCAGGCAGAGAAGTTGGCTTTTTTTTTTCTTTTTGGTCAGTCATGGAGTTTGAACTCAGGGGCCTGGGCCCTGTTCTTGACTTCTTTTGCTCAAGGCTAGAGCTCTGTCACTTTGAGCCACAACTTCACTTCGGTTTTCGGGTTAATTGGAGATAAAGAGTCTCATAGATTTTCCTTCCTGGGCTGACTTTGAACCATGAGCCTCAAATCTCAGCCTGCTGAGTAGCTAGGATTACAGGCGTGAGCCACCAGTGCCTGGCTGCTGACTTCCTTTTTATTCCAACAAAATGAGCTGGGCTCCGGTGGCTCACGCCTTGTAATCCTAGACTCAGGAGGCTGAGATCTGAGGATTGCAGTTCAAACCAGCCCAGGCAGGAAAGTCCATGAGAGTCTATTCTTTTTCTTTTTCTTTTTTGTGGGTCATGGGGCCTGAACTCTGGGCCTGGGCACTGTCCCTCAGCTCTTCAGTTCAAGGCTAGCATTCTACCACTTCAGCCACAGACTCACTTCCCGCTTTTTCTGTTTATGTGGTACTGAGGAATTGAATCTAGGGTCTCATGCATGCAAGGCAAGCACTCTACACTGAGCCACATTCCCAGCCCCCATCCATAAGATTCTTATCCCCAATTAACTTGAGCCACAGCTCAAGTGGTAGAGTGCTAGCCTTAAGCTGAAGAGCACAGGGACAATGCCCAAGCCCAGAGTACAAGCCCCAGGACAAAAAAAAAAAAGAAAAAAGCTAAGGTCCAGCCAAAGCCAGTCCTTAGATCTCCCTCCTCCTCCTCTCCCACAAATCATTATATTAAAAAAAAATAGGGCTGGGAATATGGCTTAGTGCTAAAGTGCTTGCATGAAACCCTGGGTTCAATTCCTCAGTACCACATATACAGAAAAAGCTGGAAGTAGCGCTGTGGCGTAAGTGGTAGAGTGCTAGCCTTGAGCAAAAAAAGCTCAGGGACAGTGCCCAGGCCCTGAGTTCAAGCCCCCGGACTGGCAAAAAAACAAAAAAAAACTCTTTAATAGAACATACAGAACATATGGCACTGACAGGAAAATTTATTCTATTACAGAAGGTGCTAGCCCACTGAATTGTTTATAGCTGCAATTCTATCCAACATTTTGCGCCGATCAGTTTCCCATCTGAATTACGATTCCTGTGGAAAAGAAAAAAAAAAACAAAACCTATTACTCAAGAAAAAAAATTAAATCCCTCCCAAGTAATTATGCTTCATAGAAGTTTAGAAATTTAAAAAGGCTCCGTTGCAACAAAAGATGTTTTCCCGTAACACTGACAGATGCCATACCATGTGCCAGTCCACATGCCCCCCTTAGATCTCTTCACCCACGAGGCTTTCCCCTAAGGCATACAAGTCCTCACCTGCCAGATAGGCTCCCAGGTTTGGTTACCGACAGGTGCACTTGGTGGCGATCATATCTTCGTATTCTTTGTAAGCGATGGAGCCATCCGGCTCGATGGTCAGGACGCTCAAGGGACTGTATTTGCCAGGCACACATGATGGCCTGGGCACCGACGAATCTAGCTTCTCATAGATAATGTTCTGTACCATGGTGTGCACCGGAGAACCATACCTGTGTCTCACAGCGCGGGGACAATCCCCTTTACAGAATCGAGGGTTGTACCTGTGCGGAGCTACTATCCAGTTATCCCACTTGAGCTGCCGAAAGCTGAGCCTAAAGTCGTGCAGTTCACACTCACCCGGGGGGAAGAAAAACTGCCTGAAGTATTCACTCAGGTTGAAGGAAGTCGGAAGCAGCGGCTTCTTGGATTCCGAGCTGGGGACTTCCTGACCTCTAAGGTGACGAGAAAGTCGTGGGGTCTCGGTCCCCCTCCTGTCCAGGTCAGGGCCCTGGGCTGGCCCTCTTTGATGGTGCAGGGAGTACCACCGGTGATACGCCTGCGCACTCGTGTCGTTCAGATATAGGATCAGCGAGGGTGGCACCAGGCGAGACGTGTGGAGGGGTCCCTCCGGGCCTGAAGGATGCGGTGGCTGGGCCAGCCGACAGGTGAAACTGACTGTGGTGTGGATGCTGCGCTCACGGGAGTCCACCAGGGGCTGCAGGAGAGGGGTCACGTCGATCTCCATCCATTTGTGATTCTTCACGGTACAGGATAGCGGAGCTGGGCTCGATCTGGACTCGTGGATGGCCAGGATGCACAGGCACGTGAGAGCAGAGGGAGGAGGGATGGAGGTGTTGAACGGGTAAAGCAGGACGGACTTGAGTAAGTGCTCCACGGCAGCCACGCGATCCAGGTTGAACTGCAGGGCGTCAGAGGGGAGCAGGCCTGGGGAGAAAAACTCACTGGTAGCATTGACTCCAAGGCCACATCAACCAAGAAATGTACTCATTACCTTGCTCATGTGACTAACTCCTCTGTACAGCATCTTTACAATAAAATAAAAAATTTAAAAATATAGGTCATCACATCAGATGATGTTAAGGGAAATGAACACCAAGATGTGAACAGAAGAGGTCTTTCTTTGTGGTTGTTATTTGTAATGTACAATGAGATTTGTGTTTCCTTTGTATGTTCTTCCCTCTATGGTATATCCCTTGGGGTCACTGTGCTTGAATTTGACACTGTGCACCTTCTATAAATTTATCTACTTTGGGGAGGGTATGGAAATAACAAGGACACAGGTTGGCCCATTGCAATAAATCTACTGAAAAGATACTTAATTGGAAATAAAATTTATAATGTTGGGGAGAGAGGAATGGAGCAGGTGAGGGAGAGAAGGAACAGTTGGAGAGCCACAAAGGAGGGGTTAACAATTCTTGACAAGGAATGGACTCAATACCTTGCTCATGTAACTAACACCTTTGTACATTATCTTTATGTATATGAATATGTATCTATATATATATATGTAAAGAGCATGACAAAAAAAGAAATGTACTCATTGTCTTACTCATGTAATTGTAAACCCTCTGTACAACATCTTCACAACTATATTAAAGTAAATAAACCCCACAAACAAAAAAAAAAAAAAAAAAAAAAAAAAAATTAAAAAAAAAAAAAAAAAAAAAATATAGGTCATGCCGGGTGCTGGTGGCACACGCCTGTCATCCTAGCTACTCAGGAGGCTGAGATCTGAGGATCATGGTTCAAAGCCAGTCCGGGCAGGAAAGTCCATGAGACTCTTATCTCCAATGAACCACTAGAAAACCAGAAGTAGTGCTGTGGCTCAAGCGGTAGAGCGCTCTCCTTGAGCTGAAGAGTGCAGGGACAGCGCCCAAGCCCAGGGTTCAAGCCCCACGACAGACCAAAAAAAAAAAAAAAAGAGCCTCACGGACTTTCCTGATCAGGCTGGCTTTGAGCCGTGATCCTCAGATCTCAGCCTCCTGAGTAGCTAGGATTACAGGCGTGAGCCACCAGTGCCTGGCTTCTGAGCTTCTTTTACTCAAGGCTAGCACTCTACCACTTGAGCCACAGAATCACTTCCAGCTTTTTCTGGGTTTGTGATACTGAGGAATCAAATCCAGGGCTTCATGCATGCTAGACAACACTCTACCACTAAGCTACATTCCTAGCCCACCATAACTAATTTGAATGGATTTTTAGTTTGTGCCAGGACTGGTGCCTGGCCAAATGGCTGTGTGTGTGTGTGTGTGTGTGTGTGTGTGTGTGTGTGTGTGTGTGTGTGTGTGTGTGTGTGTGTGTGTGTGTGTGTGTGTGTGTGTGTGTGTGTGTGTGTGTGTGTGTGTGTGTGTGCGCATCCTGGGGCTTGAATTCAGAGCCTGGGTGCTGTCCTTGAGTTTTTGTTCAAGGCTAGTTCTCTACCACTTACAGCCACAGCTCCACTTACAGCCTTTTCTGGTAGTTAATTGGAGATAAGTCTCATGGGCTTTCTTGCCCTAGCTGGCTTTAAACCGTTATCCTCAGGTCTCAGCCTCCTGAGTAGCCAGGATTACAGGCTTGAGCTCAGGCACCTGGCTTGGATGGACTTTTTATCTGCAGTTAGTCAGACCAGCTTTGATAGTAAAGCAACAGGGAGTGAATATGTGCTGCAGCTTCCCTCCTCACAGCTAGCTCCACACACAGAGGAGGGTAATAAGCAGGACTTTTCTTGTGGTGAATATAGGGGGAAATCAGCACCATAATTTTAAAACAAAGCTTACCAGGTTCAATAAAGACATTCTAGCTCACACTTGTAATCCTACTTAGGCAGCTGAGATCTGAGGATCGCAGTCTGAAGCCAGCTGGGCAGGAAAGTCTGAGACTCTTTTCTCCAATTAACCATCAGAAAACCAGAAATGGATCGGTGGCTCAAAAATGGTAGAGTACTAGCCTTGAGGACAGAAGCTCAGTTACAGGGCTCAGGCCGAGTTTAAACCCCCCAACTGTTTTAGGTACATTTTCCTCACCAATAGTTTGGTAGAACAAAAACATGTGAACTTTCTAGTATCTTTTTTTTCAATATATATATATTTTTTGGTTGGTCATGGGGCTTGAACTCAGGGCCTGGGAGCTGTCCCTGAGCTCTTATGCTCAAGGCTAGCATTCTACTACTTTGAGCCACAGCTCCACTTCTGGCTTTTGAGTAGTTAACTGGAGATAAGAGTCTCATAGGGATTTTTCTATTGGCTTCAATTCGTGATCCCCAGATCTCAGCCTGGGTAGCTAGGATTATGGGCATGAGCCACTGGCGCCCAGCTGTTTTTTCCAATCTTTAAAGCCACTAAATCTTTTTGTTGTTGTTGTTTGTTTGTTTGTGGGTTGTGGGGCCTGAACTTTGGGTCTGGGCATTGTCCCTCAGCTTTTCAGCTCAAGGCTAGTACTCTACCACTTCAGCCACAGAGCCACTTCTGGCTTTTTCTGCTTAACTGGTGCTGAGGAATCGAACCCAGGGCCTCATGCATGCTAGGCAAGCTCTCTACCACTGAGCCACCTTCCTAGCCCCATCTTTTAGTTTTAAAATTCTAAATTCTATCTTCTTAGCCCTTATTAAGTAAAGAGGGCATTAAAAAAAAAGCCCAGTAAGACCAAATATGAGTGCTAGGTAGGGCTGTAGCTCAATGGTCGAGTGCTTACCTAGCATATTCAATCATCAGTAGCACTACCACGACCACCTGAATACATCAAGATACATCACAGTCCCGCCCCTTCCTATAACCAAGTATCTTTGGATCCCAGCATGTCTGTACACACCTGTAATCCCAGCACTTGAGAGGTTTGAAGCTCGAACACGGAGTTCCCAAGGCCAGTCTGGGTAACAGAGTAAACCCCTTATCTCAAAAGGCCAAAAACAAGGTGGGTTCCAGTGGCTTACGCCTGTAACCCTAGCTACTCGGAAAGCAGAAATTGAGAGGATCATGGTTTGAGGCCAATCCAGGCTGAAATTTCTGGAGAGATAGGACTTAGTAAAACATACTTGTCATATCGTAGCTACAATTCTAACATAGGTGGATTGTGGTCAAAGTGCCTACATTGGCAGGAAGCCCCTATCTTTAAAAACAAAACAAAACAAAAAAACCCAAAAGGCTGGGAATGTGGCATAGTGGTACAGCGCTTGCCTACCAAGAATGAAGCCCTGGGTTCAATTCCTCAGTACCACGTCAGCAGAAAAGGCAGGAAGTAGCATTGTGGCTCAAGCAGTAGAATGGCTAGCCTTGAGCAAAAGACTCTCAGGGACAGTGCCAAGGCCCTGAGTTCAAGCCCTAGGATTGGCAACAAAACAAAAAAACAAAGACAGGGCTGGAGATGTGGCTCAGCAGTAAGACAGCCTGGCAGTAAGACAGCTGGAGAACTTGAGTTCGAACCCCAATATTGCCAAAAAAACCCAAATCACCACAACTCCATAAACTTCCCTTTCCACCATTTAAGCACTTTTACATACCTGTCACCTGGTCTCCAGAAGCCTGTTTGTTCTGAGTACTGGGAGTGAAGAGCCGGACAGTGTTGTGGAGGTGACTCTTACTGGATTTCGGAACCCCCTCTTTAGTAGCATAGGCTTTATAGAGCTTCTTCATGTAGTACAGTGCTCGGGAATCTGGCTGCAGCTTAGGAGACTCACCTCGCCTATCAGACAGGACCTTGAAGAGAGGAGGAAAGAGACCGGATCTGTCTGCCCCATCTACAAGCTGTAGTAAGGACCAAGGGTCTACCTCAGATTCAGACTCAGCATTAGCTGTAATCTTAGCTTCTCCCCGAAAAGTCTGAGAACCAAGGCTAAGATAAATAGGGCCATAGAGCCAGGCCAAGCAGCAAAACCATAGCAGGGATTTGCTGGGAAGTGCCATGGCTTGAGAGAACTAACAAGAAAAACATTTCCCCACACTGGTCATCTTCCTAAAGGGAGAAAGGCCCTCCCTAGGTCTCTTAAATAAATTTTAGGTGCGAGAATGGATGAGTATCACTTCTGGAATCAGACCTCAAGGGTACTTAGCTGAAGATCATTTTTATCAACTCTACCGCAGTCAGCTGATCACATCCTAATTATTTAATTTGTCCTCATGAGATTCAAATATATTTGGTTATGTAGCCTATTTCCCCTTTCCCTGGCACTTACACCTGTCAAGATTGTCCATATCCTAATGGATTAGCTCTCTTGCTGAAAGTCTAAGAGAAACAGATAAATCATCTTCAAATAAAACCTCTCAGGGGGCTAGGAAGGTAGAATACTTGCCTTGTATGCCTGAGGCCCTGGGTTTGATTCCTCAGCACCATATAAGCAGAAAAGGCTGGAAGTGGCACTGTGGCTCCAGTGGTAGAGCACTAGGCTTGAGCTGAAAAAGCTCAGAAACAGCGCCCAGGCCTAGAGTTCAAGCCCCATGACCGACAAAAAACAACAACCAAAAAAGGACCTCTCAGCCAGAAGCTGGTGGCTTATGCCTGTAATCCTAGCTACTCAGGAAGCTGAGGATCATGGTTCAAACACAGCCTAGGCAGAGCCCAGGCCCAAAGTTCAAGCCCCAGCATCAACAAAAAAAAAAAACAAAATTCTCAGGGTCAAGGATGTAGCTCAATGTCATTGTTTGCCTAGTATGTTAGAAGCCCTGGTTTCCATCCCATCCCCAAGGCAAAAACAAGTACATCTTTTCCAATCTCTCTCTCTCTCTCTAGCTCTCTCTCCTTGCTTTCTCTCTCAAAGTCAGGGTCTGGGTGCTGTTTTGCTCAATCTACTGGAGCACTTGAGCTACATCCTTTGCTTCTAGGTTTTTGGTTTTTGTTTTTGTCAGTCATGGGGATTGAACTCTGGGCCTAGGCACTGTCCCTCAGTTCTTCACCTCAAGGCAAGCACTGTACCACTTGAGCCACAGTGCCATTTCTGGTTCTGGTGGTAAATTGGAAATAAGAGTCTCAGGGAGGGCTGGGAAGGTGGCTCAGTGGTAGAGTGCTTGCCTTGCATGCATGAAGCCCTGGGTTCAATTCCTCAGCACCAGTTAAGCAGAAAAAGCTGGAAGTGGCACTGTGGCCTAAGTGGTAGAGTGTTAGCTAGTTCAGGGTGGGGGAGGGGGTCTCATGGACTTTTCTGCCCCAGCTGGTTTTGAACCATGACCCTCAGATCTCAGCCTCCTGAGTAGCTAGGATTATAGGCATGAGCCACTGGCACCGGCTGGTTTTTGTTTGTTTGTTTTGTTTTGGCTGGTTAATTGAACATAAGAATCTCAGAAACTTTCCTGCCCAAGCTGGTTTCAAACTTCCATCCTTAGATCTTAGCCTCCTGAGTAGCCACCATGACAGGTGTGAGCCATCAGCTCCAGGCTCAACTCATTTTTTTTTTTTTGCTGGTGGTGGGGGCTGAACTCTGGGCCTGGGTGCTGTCCCTGAGCTCTTCAGCTCAAGGCTAGCGCCCTACCACTTGAGCCACAGCGCCACTTTCGGCTTTTTTCTGCTTATGTGGTACTGAGGAATCGAACCCAGGGCCTCATGCATGCAAGGCAAGCACTCTATCACTGAGCCACCTTCCCAGCCCAACAATTAAGATTTTTTTTTTATAATATTTCTTTTGTGCTTGTTGAAATTTCCAAGGCATATGACAAAAGCTGTTGTGCTGATAATATTCAGCACATGTTGGCATGCAATTCATAGTACTGGGTTACTCTTCCTCTTGGTTAATTCTCCTCAGAACACCATTTCCATATGTAATTATTTACTGCTGTTGGTTTGGAGAAGGGAGGAAAGGCACAATTTCTAACAGGTGAGAACCAGCTGAGTTCAACTTTTCTCAGGTGGCTTAGTATATCCTAATCATGTGCTTAGCAAACTGCAGCAGTATTTGAGGACTTTACATCTAGCCATCACTAGTTTTAAAATATAAAAATCTTGATGTCCTTACACTAGTCTATACATTCATCTGTAGATATTTTGGCTGAAAGGTTTTTGAGATGATTGCAAATACTATTAAATAATGGATTTAAAAAATATATGTCGGGCGCTGGTGGCTCATGCCTGTAATACTACTCAGGAGGCTGAGATCTGAGGATCAAGGTTCAAAGCCAGCCTGGGAAGGAAACTCTGTGAGACTTATCTCCAAGAAGCCACCAAAAAACTGAAAGTAGCAGTGTGGCTTAAGTGGTAGAGAGCTCCCCTTGAGCTGAAGAGCTGAGGGACAGTGCCCAGGCCCAGAGTCCAAGCCCCACGACTGCCCCCCCCCAAAAAAAGATAGATGGAGTGAGAGAGTGTGAGAGTGAGATAGATAGATAGATAGATAGATAGACAGACAGACAGACAGACAGACAGACAGACAGACAGACAGATAGATAGATAGATAGATAGATAGATAGATAGATAGATAGATAGATAGATAGATAGATAGTTGTGGCTCACACCTAAAATCCTAGCTACTTGGAAGGCTGAAATCTGAGAATCACAGTTTGAAGTCAACTTGGGCAGGAAAGTCTTTGAGACTCTTTTTTTTTTTTTGAGTCTGGTCGTGGGGCCTGAACTCTGGGCCTGGGCGCTGTCCCTCAGCTCTTCAACTCAAGGCTAGCACTCTACCACTTGAGCCACAGTGCCACTTCTGGCTTTTTTCTTTTTGCTTATGTGATGCTGAGGAATTGAACCCAGGGCCTCAGGCATGCAAGGCAAGCGCTCTATCACTGAGCCACCTTCCCAGCCTCTCTTTGAGACTCTTATGTTCAATTAATTACCAAAAAACCAGAAGTGAAGCTGTGGCTCAAAGTGATAATCAGCCTGAGCAAAAAACGATCAGTTCAAGCCCCATTACTGGCATTAAAAAAGAAAGGGCTGGGAATGTAGCTTAGTGGTAGAGTGCTTGCCTAGAATGCATGAAGCCCTGGATTTGATTCCTCAGTACCACATAAACAGAAAAAGCTGGAAGTGCCACTGTGGCTCAAGTGGTTGAGTGCTAACCTTGAGCAAAGGAAACTCAGGAACCATGCCCAGGCCCTGAGTTCAAGTCCCAGGACTGTCAAAAAAAAAAGAAAAAAGAAAAAAAAGAAAGGAATTAATCACTCAAATGCCTCCTCTGATTTACTGAATCCTTCCCTCATCTAACTGTATGCTCCCTACCCAAGGCTCCACAGAGCCGCGGGAGAGGTGGGGGGAGTGCTTGTGGGGGGAAGGTAGGGATCCCCCCACCCCACCTCCAAGTGGTCCGCTAGGCCACACCCCGCCTCCACCTCAGGAACCTTCACCTCCCAGGCCCAGCGGACTCGGCCATCTCTCACCAGCAGGGGACCCGCCCCCGAGACGACGCTAGGATGGTACTTTCCGGAAGTGACGTCACGGCCGCCCAGCACCGCCTTCTGGCTCTGCCGGAAGTGACGCGCGGAGGTCAGCGGCGGAGGACAGCGCGTTCGGGTATGGGCCGGAAGGGATGAGGGGGTGTCCCCGGGAAAGGAGGATGGGGGGGCGGTGGCAGCGGGAGTGTGTGTGTGTGGGGGGGGGTCTGCATGAGGCCGTGGCGCGCCCCGAGGCTGAGCCCCAGCGCCCTGTCTTCCCACCGGCGTCGGCCCGCAGGGTCCCCGCCAAGATGGGCCGCGAGTTCGGGAACCTGAGCCGGGTGCGGCACGTCATCTCCTACAGCCTGTCGCCCTTCGAGCAGCGCGCCTTCCCCCACTACTTCAGCAAGGGGATCCCCAACATGCTGCGGCGCATCAAGGACAACCTCCTGCGGGTGGCCCCGCGTGAGTACCGCGCATCCCCGGCGCGGGAGGCGGGAGCTGCCGACCCCGACTCCCTCCGGAGGCCCGGCCTGCCCGAGAGGCGGGGACGCTCGGACACTTGATCGCACTCAGTGACTGTCCCCGGCCTCCCCAAATGACCGGCCGAAGGTCACTTGTGGGACTCCAGCGTGCTCCCTGTGAGGTCAACCTATCTCACTTTTCTTATCGTGGGTACAGTGTCCCGTGGGAAATGTGCCGCTGGTGCCTAATGCTGACAGGTGCAGGACAGGGCGACTCCGCCCAGAACCACGGGCGCAGGGCGGGGGCGGGAGGGGTAGGGAATATGCCAAGGTGGTCAATGCCAAGTGGATCTTTCATCCCACTGATGGCAATTTTTGGCTTACTGTATAGTGAGGGGTCATCTTTATTTTAGCTTCTTGTGGAACGGATGTGTAACTTTTTTTTTTGTTTCTTTTTGCCAGTCCTGGGGCTTGAACTCAGGGCCTGGGCACTGTCCCTGAGATTCTTTGGCTCAAGGCTAGCACGCTACCACTTGAGGCACAGCACCACTTCCCGCCTTTTCTATTTATGTGGTACTGAGGAATTGAACCCAGGGCTTCATGCATGCTCGGCGAGCACTCTACCACTAAGCCACATTCCCAGCCTGTAACTTAACCTTTCTTGACCTTAACTTAACCTTTCTTAAAGTTTAAAAGTAAGTTTTGTTTTTGTGCTGGTGCTGGAGCCTGGGTACTGTCCCTGAGCTTTTTTTTTTTTTTTCTTTTTTCTTCCTCTAAAAGGCTAGTGCTCTGCTACTCGAGCCATAGCTTCAATTTAAAGCTTTTTGGTGGTTCATTGGAAGTAAGAGTCTCACAGACTTTACTGCCTGAGCTGGCTTTGAACTGTGATGCTCAGATCTCGGCCTCCTGAGTAGCTAGGATTACAGGCACGAGCCACCAGCACCTGGACTAAAAGTAGTTTCTTAAAAGCTAGAGAGCAGAACCTGGCCTAAGTCAGACAAGAAGGACCTGTAACTCTGTCATAGGTACTCACCACTTATTCTTACTTTTGATTTTTTTTAAGCATTTGTAGGGGTTTATCTTTTTTTTTTTCTATTTCAGTTGATTTTATTTTTATAAAACTGCAAGGTTATGAACACAAACTTTGAAGAATCTCCTAAGCTTTTTACATAAGTAAATTTCAAGTTCACAGTCTATTCATTTTGAATTATTTATAATAGGAGACCTTAGTATAATATCTTAGATAAGAGGTTATTAATTCTGCAGACAGGTAATAAAATGCCAAACCTGACAAGAAGGACTTATTCTCACTTTTGATTTTTTTTTTAAAGCATTTGTAGGGGTTTATCTTATCTACACATGGGGGAACCATGAGTTTGAGAGGTCCAAGAGGAAGAATCCAGCTACCTATGAACATGACAAATGAACAGCTCACCGGCATGAAGGTTTACTCCCTCTGAAAGACCCTTCTCTGGGAGAGGAGTCTGTATTGTTGTGTCTTGAAGATATAATAAACTTCTGGGCTGTATACACTGTTGTAACTTTACATTTTTGTAAGCAGAATCCTTAGTTTGACTGCTAATAGTCTCGATTCAAGTTCATGAAGTTACACTTTTCACAAGTTCTATGCAGCTTTGTGTAGTCAGGTTTTGAGAAAGGAGTGGATAAACTCCCCCACCCCAATTCTGTAGTTTGAAAGTTGCCACAGCTAATCAATAGTGGTAGCATGAACTATGAAGAATGTTGATTCTTGGCTCTCTGCTCCCAGTATGAAGATAAGTCTGCTAACTATTGTGTGTCAAGTACTTTTGTTAGCCACACAAATGATCTTTTTGCCAGTCCTGGAGCTTGGGTGCTGCTGTCCTTGAGCTCCTTTTGCTCAAAATTAACACTCTACTATGTGAACCATAGCACTACTTCCGGCTTTTTCTGTAATTGTCTCCCAGACTTTTCTTTTTTTTTTTTTTTTTTTTTTTGGGTCCAGTCTTTGGGCCTGAACTCTGGGCCTGGGCGCTGTCCCTCAGCTCTTCAGCTCAAGGCTAGCGCTCTACCACTTGAGCCACAGCGCCACTTCCGGCTTTTTTTCTTTTTTGCTTATGTGGTGCTGAGGAATCGAACCCAGGGCCTCAGGCATGCAAGGCAAGCGCTTTAACCACTGAGCCACCTTCTCAGCCCCATCTCCCAGACTTTTCTACCTAGGCTGGCTTCAAACTCCAATCCTCGGATCTCAGCCTCTTGAGTAGTTGGGATTACAGGTGTGAGACACTGGTGCCTGGCACAAATGATCTTTTAAACTTTCTAGCAACCTTTGAACTAAGTATCATTAGTATGCTCATTTTGTGTACAAGAAAACAGATACAAGTAATTTGCCAAAAATTATACAACAGTGAATGGTAGAGTCTAGCACCCAGGATATGCTCTTAAAACTATGCCATATTGCCTCTCCTCCAAAGGCAGGACTTGGTTTGAGCAGAGTCAAGTGTGAATGGAGGCTGTGGGCTGATTATACCACAGAGCTGACAATGATTGCTAACTATATGTGAACTGTAAAGACTATTTTCTCTATCCCTTTGTGGAAAATGTCTATTCCTGTGCTGGAGCTGAAAGCTACCATTTAACCTTCACCTGAAGATAGTGGAAACTTCTTTTAGAATACTGGTTAGTCTACAGCAACTTTTATATCCTCTAATGTTTGATGGTTGCTGTTACCCCTTTTTTTCCCTTTAATTTTTTTTCTTTTGTTGGTCATAGAGCGTGAACTCAGGGCCTGGGTATTGTCCCTGAGCTTTTTCCGCTGAAGGCTAGTGCTGTAACTTAACTTTGAGCCCACAGCACCACTTCCAGTTTTCTGCTGGCTAATTGAAGAAGTCTCACAGATTTTCTTGCCTGGACTGGCTTTGAACTGTGATCCTCAGATCTCAGCCTCCTGAGTAGCCAGGATTACAGACATGATGAGCCACCAATGCCCAGATTAATTCCTTTTTTTTTTTTTTAATTTGCGATTGCCTTTTGAGAATTAAAATTACTTGGCTTGCAAAAAAGACAGATATATGGGACAACCATGTCTGACAATCTGGGCCCATTCCTTTAAACTCATGTTCTGGGGCTGAGAATGTGGCTTAGTGGTAGAGTGCTCGCCTAGCATGCAAGAAGCCCTGGGTTCAATTCCTCAGTACCACATAACCCAAAACCTTCTCACTGTGATATAACCTTGAGGCTTAAGTTTCTCACCTATAACAAAAATGTGCCACATAAAGTCCTTGAGTTGTAGCAATGATGGCATGAGGAGCCTAAATGTTTCTGGCAAGGTGGTATAGGCTAAGAACAGCTATCAAGAAAAATTTGCCTCCCCAGACATGGCCCAGTTTTCCTGTTTGTTTTTTTTGGTCCAGATTAATTTCCTTGGTCTGGTTGCCAAGTCTTACAACACATGTGGATTGTAGAGTCCAGTGAGAATATGATAAAAAGCTGTGGGCCTGAATACAGTATAGCTGCGCCTATCCTGGTCGCACAGCATTTCAGCAGGTTACCTTGGTTCCTCTTCACCTTACTGGACTTGTTCTACAGTTATTGTTGGTTCTTTGACTCCTTTATATGCCAGAGTGCTCTTCGGAGACCACCTGAGGGTCTGAGATTCCACTTATGGCTCAGCTTGTTAAAGGATGCGTTCAAAGCTGGACACCTGTAATCCTAGCTACTCAGGAGGCTGAGATCTAAGAATTGTAGTTCAAAGCCAGCCTAGGCAAGAAAGTCTGTGACTTTTATCTCCTATCAACCACCAAAACACCATAGGTGGCACTGTGGCTCAAGTGGTAGAGTGTTAGTCTTGAGCACAAAAGCTTAGGGACAGCTCCCAGGTCCTGAGTTCAAGCCATATGACACACCAAAAAAAAAAAAAAAAAGATGCTTTCCACTTGTCTGGAGGAGGGACTTCTCTCTGGAATTTGGGAGCGTGGATCTGGTACCAGCTGGAGACATGGGTGTAGGGGATGTGGTGGCTAGGTATCAGTATAGATAATCAGGGGTCACTTTAGGGGCTATTTGTAGGAATCTACAAAAGAGAACTTGAGGTAAGTTTTTTGTGCCAGTACTCGGGTTTGCTGTCCCTGAGCTTTTGTGCTCAGTGCTAGTGGCTCTACCACTTGAGCCAAGTACCACTTCCAGCTCTATTTGGTGGTTCAGTGGACTTAAGAGTCTCAGACTTTCCTGCCCAGGCTAGCTTGGCACCACAATCCTCAGATCTCATCCTCTTGAGTAACTAGGGTTACAGGCATGAGCTACCAGCACCTGACTTCAGGAAAGCCTCTTAAAGGAAGCATAGCTGCTGTGGGCCTTGATGCCATGGCCTGCCCACCTGGAGCTTACAGCCTTAGATGTGGTGCTTACTTGCTATACCATTTGCTCTATTACTTCCCCAGTGTTCCTGCCCCACTGGGGCAGTCTGCCAACATGGTACCCAAGATGGAGGTCCAGAAGTATGCCAGTTTCAGCCAGCAAAACAGCAAATACACTTTGACCTTTGGTTAGAAATTTTACCTGCAAAAGTGTTCCCATTTCAAAGTCCTTTTATTTTCTTCTGTTCAACCAGCACTCAAATGCAGTATCTGATGGTTGCTTTTGCTCATTGGCTGGTGCTCTACCACCTGAGCCACACCTCCTACCCCTCAAAGTCTTTTCATCTTTTAGTAGGCATCTCCTGTTGAAAAGATAGAAGAAGGGGCTGGGAAGGTGGCTCAGTGGTAGAGTGCTTGCCTAGCATGCATGGAGCCCTGGGTTCGATTCCTCAGTACCCCAAAAACAGAAAAAGCTGGAAGTGGCTCAAGTGGTAGAGTGCTAGCGTTGAGCAAAAGCAGCTCAGGGACAGTGCCTCAGCTATGAGTTCAATCCCCAGGACTGTTTAAAAAAAGAAGAAGAAGAAAAAGTTCCAGGTTACCACCAAATCCTAATGATCTCTCCACCTATAAAATACTTAAGTCAGCTGCTCATGTACCCATACCCTTTCATCTTAGGACTTACCTCTAAAGCAGAAAGTCCCAGGAGTGATATCCAGAGCAGCAATCAAACCTGCTTCAGTGTTATTTTCTTCATGTAAATTAATCACTGGAACCCCCAAATGACAGTGCCCTGGAGGCTTGAGATCTACTGCCATCTCACTGGCAGAGTTAAGCTAGGGAAAGGGCTGGCCTAAGGTGAGGAAGTCCTGGGCTTGAACTCAGGGTCTGGATGCTGTCTCTGAGCTTCTTTAGCCACAGCACCACTTCTAGCTTTTTCTGAGTAGTTTATTAGTGATAAGAGTCTGTTGGACTTTTCTGCCTAGGCTAGCTTTGAACTGCGACCCTCAGATCTCAATCTCCTGAGTAATCAGGATTATAGACATGAGCCATCATGCCCAGCTAACATGTGGTTTTTTATTCAGTCGGTGAGATACTTGCTTGTTGCTGAGAAACTATGCTTTTTTTTTAATCTCTCCCTCAACTTCAAGGATAGTTTTTTATAGTCTAGCCTCAAGGTAAGGAATGGCTACGGGTAATTGCTCAATTCAGCTGTTTTTTTCTTCCTCCTTCCCTCCCTCCCACCTTCCCTCCCTCCCTCCCTCCCTCCCTCTCCTTTCTTGTGCCAGTAAATGGAGCTTGAACTCATAGCCTCACACTCGCTCAAGGTTTTTTCATTCATGGCTGGTGCTCTACCACTTGAGCCATGCCTCCACTTCCAGTCTTTTGCTGGGTCATGAGAGATAAGCCAGGTTTTTCTGCCTGGGGTGGTCTCAAGTCTCCATCCTCAGATCTCAACTTCCTGAGCAATTAAGGTTATAGATGAGAGCCATAGATTGGTTCCTGGCCCCAGGTGTCCTTTTGGGAGGATGTAGATAGAAGTTTGAGTCATGAAGGCTTTGGCAGTGTTGCACCCATGAGGCCTTTTTCCCAAGCACAGGGCCCCCTGGCTTCAGGCACTTTTCCTCCACTCTGATATTGGCTTTATAGATGAACACAGAAGGCTAGTGTGCTTTTGCTTAGAACATAGGCAAGACAGAAACGGTGGGTTTAGGAGACCACTCCTATAATAGATGCCATGCATGTCCCTGCAGGCTGGGTTGGGGGAGCTGGCATTAAGCCCACAGCCCCACTGGTTCTAGGACGTCACGTTGCCCAGCCTTGTTTATCTAATCAAATTTGTGTTCTTACTCAATGTTCACTAGGTCACCACACAGCCTCTCCCTAACCCTGCAAAAGCTTTTTCCATAGTCTCTTACCTGGGGTCATTCAGTATCCACCACCAGGGGATAAAAGGAGGGAGCAAGCTAACTCATCCTGAGTTTCTATGGTTTGTCATGTAGGCTTTTCCTCTTCCTCTTCCTTCTGCTCTTCTTCCTTGACTTTCCTCCTTCTCCTCCTTCCTTCTTTTGTGTGTGTGTGCGCCAGCCCTGGGGACTTGAATTCAAAGCCTGGGCACTGTCCCTGAACTTTTTTACTCCAGCCTAGTGTTCTACCACTTGAGGCCACAGCTTCACTTCCAGTTTTTTGCTGGTTATAAGAGTCTCATGAGCCAGGCGCTGGTGGCTCAAGCCTGTAATCCTAGCTACTGAGGAGGCTGAGATCTGAGGATCACAGTTCAAAGCCAGCCCAGGCAGTAAAGTCCAAGAGACAATTATCTCCAATTAACCAGAAAACCAGAAGTGGCACTGTGGCTCAAGTGGTACAGTGCTAGCCTTGAGCTGAAGAGCTGACGGACAGTGCCCAGGCCCAGAGTACAAGCCCCACGAGGGGGAGGTGGGAAGTCTTATGAACTTATGTCCAGCTGGCACTGAATCATGACCCTCAGATCTCAGCCTCTAAGTAGTAGCTAGGGTTACAGGTGTGAGCCACAGGCACATGTCTAAGGCCTGCTTCTTGATGATTCTAAACTTGGGAACTCCATGGTCCCAAGACGACTAGAATCAGGGCCAGCAAATGTATGGAGTCACATCCCACACATCATAAGACCATGCTCTTCTCCCTGGGAGAAGCTCCCTCTTCCTTGCTGTAGGATTGGTAATGATCCTCCATTCCTGCTGGGAGGTAAAGGTAACAGGCAAGCTCTTCCCCAAATATCCAACCTTAGGAGCTTTGGGAAGACGTGTTAGCCAAGTTTCCAGTGAGATACTAGGCAGGCAGATTAAAAGAAAAAATCTTGGGGCTAGGAAGGTGGCTCAGTGGTAGAATGCTTGCCTTGCATGCATGAGGCCGTGAGTTCAATTCCTCAGCACCACATAAGCAGAAAAAGCCAGAAGTGGCACTGTGGCTCAAGTGGTAGAGTGCTAGCCTTGAGCTGAAGAGCTGAGAGACAGCACTCAGACCCAGAGTTCAGGACCCACAACCGACAAAAAAGAAAAAAAAAATCTTGTTGCATTTCTCTTATCCTTTCATGGAGATCTCAAATCTCCCTATGCAGAAGTCAGCTTTCCTCTCAAATGTATTAAAAAAATGCTCATAATCAACACTGGAGAAGATGCTCTTGTAATCCCAGCACTTGAGAGGCTAAGGCCTCTTGAATCTTTGAGTTAGAGACCAGCCTGGGCTACTTGGCAAAACTCTCTGCCTTCAAAAACAATGAAAATGATAAAATTCCAGGTTACTGAATGAGTATCCTCCTTAACTACTCAGGGTTTGAATGTATATCCTCTTTTGGTCTAGATTCCTACTAAGGTTCATGAATATTGAGCTTTAGAGTTAGCTTTATGCCTGTTCCCCTAAGGCTGCTCTGCCAAAGCCCAACCATCTATACTGGAAGTAAAGCCTGTATATAATTCAATGTTGTGACTATATAAGCTCTTACATCAATTTCACAATTCCCATTACCATCTCATTCACGGGTCCTTGAAAAACCCAAACCCCAACGTGTGTCATTATTCAACTCACCTATGGCTCCAATAAATCCCACCAGAATGGGTTGCCATTTCCCTTGGCAGGCCGCATGGATACCAGGACTGAGCTGTCCACAGCAGGGTCTTGGAGGATCAGCTGATGCCCCATCATCAGGGTGATGGTTTCTGTATGCCAATGAGGGACCCCTGACCCTGTAGGCTGATGAGGTATCTTCTCACAGGAGAGAGAAGAGCCATATACAATAGTCCAGTGCTTCCTGCCTAGACAAATATTCAGAGAGGTCAACCTTATTTCTGAAGACTGTTTTGACTAGTGAAAATAGTTGAGCTATTTTCAGACTCCCCCACCCACCCCCCCGCCTCCCTCCTCCTGTACAGCTGGGAATTGAACCCTGGGCCTCCTACATGCTAACACTCTACCCCTCCCCCACCTCGCCTGAGCTATTTTTGAAATATGGCCAGATGCCTAATCTCCCTTCGTGGTTTCACGTGGCTTCCAAAGAGGAGGGGCAGGGCTGACTCCTGATCAAATGGGTGAGAGAGTCCAGGCCAGCAACACAATCATTCAAAGTCCAGATGAGGGATCAGTAAATGCAACGTGCCTCAAAGGTAGCCCTGAACACATGCCTCGGGTAGATATTAACTTATTAAATCGATCCTGATTACAAATATAAACTTTGTCCAATCTCACCTGGCAAGCAGGAGAAAGGTAGATGTCTGTCTATAAAAAGGGAAATGCTAAGCATTTCTGGCTTTCAGGCTTTAGCATCTTCTCTCTGCCAAGATGTGGCACCTCAAACTTTTTGCAGTGCTCATGATCTGCTTGCTGATGCTGGGTGAGGTAAGGAAGGGCCCCATGTAGGCTTGGACATGGTGGGATTTTTGTGTTGCTAGTCCTGGGGATTGAACTCAGGGTCTGGGCACTGTCCCTGAGCTTCTTTGTGCCCAAGGTTAGTATTCTACCCCTTGAGCTACAGCTCCACTTCCATCTTTTTCATGGGTCATTAGAGATGAAGAGTCTTAACACTTTCCTGCCTGGGCTGGCTTTGAACTGCAATCTTTAGATCTCAGCCTCTTGAGTAGCTAGGATTATGGGTGTGACCCATTTGGTACCCAGCTTGGTGGCAATAGGATTTTAAGTAGAACTTGTCAGACTTGGGTCTTGAGGAATGGCTCCTGTTGAGTCTCCAGTGTTGTAGATGTGTGTAGCGGAGGGCATCAAACATCCACACTTGAATCTTTCTTCTATAGGCAAATGGCTCCCCGGTACCAGAACTGAGTTCAGCAAAGAGACGACCACGGAGAATGACACCTTTTTGGAGAGGGGTTTCTCTCAGACCTATTGGAGCCTCCTGTCGGGACGATTCTGAGTGCATCACAAGGCTATGCAGGTACTACTCCACAAATCTGGGTGCAGGGCTGAGCCAGAAAGGCCTGGAAAAGTGGGAAGGGGCAAGAATAGAGTTCCAAGAGCAGCTTGGGATGTTGGAGTGCTAAGGCTGAGGCAGTCAGCTGCACAGAGAAGCCCTTGGGTATGAAAAACCAAGGTCCACTCCAGGTTCCTTTCCTTGGGCTGGATAGATCAAAGACTGGGCTCTGCTAGATCTAGTTCTTAAAAAAACCACCATTTTTCTCCTCTAGAAAAAGACGCTGCTCCTTAAGTGTGGCCCAGGAATAACGCCCATCCTAGGGGAAGAAGAGACAGCCGTGACCTCCAATGCTCCGTTCTATGGAATATTGATGAACTGCATTTTGGCTGGAGATACTTAAGTGAAGCAATCTTGTGTTTTTAATATTTAAAAGATGCATGCTTTCGACTGGTCTCCATTTTCTTCTTGGTATATTGATGTGTGGATAACAAATATGTCTATTTTAAGTTTATTTTTCTATGGATACTATTAAATAACTCAAATAGAAATGCTGGCAGTCTGACTTCAAACTTGAAAGGCTTCAACTTTGTAAAGTACAAGAAAAAGAAAATTAAAAACTTGGCGTCTCAGGCCAGGTCAAGACTGTATTCCTGAGAAGGTGGTATATTCCTACCTCCTGTCATTCACTTTAGCAAAGGAATATTGAGGGCTGGGAATGTGGCTTAGTGGTAGAGTGCTTGCCTAGCATGCATGAAGTCCTGGGTTCAATTCCTCAGTATCACATACACAGAAAAAGCCAGAAGTGACGCTGTAGCTCAAGTGGTAGAGTGCTAGCCCTGAGCAAAAGAAGCTCAGACAGTGCCCAGGCCCTGAGTTAAAGCCCCAGAACAAGCAAAAAAAGAAAAGAAAAGAAAAAAAAAAAACTAGCACTGCCCAATAATGATGTGTTAACTTCTCTGTCTGGAAAGTGTGGTTAACAGATTTTTACTGGGTACCAGTGGCTCATGCCTGTAATCCTCGCTACTCAGCAGGCTGAGATTTGAGAATCATAGTTCCAGACAGGAAAGCCTGAGACTTTTTTTTTGTGGGGCTTGAGCTCAGGGCCTAAGCTCTGTCCCTGAGCCTCTTTTGCTCAATGCTAGGACTTTACCACTTGAGCCTCAGTGCCACTTCTAGTTTTTGAATGGTTAATTGGAGAAGTGTCTCAGGGACTTTTCTGCCCAGCTGGCTTCAAAGCATGGTCCTCAGATCTCAGGCTCCTGAGTAGCTAGGATGAAACCAGCTGTGAGTGACCGGCGCTTGGCTTCCATGAGACTCTTTATCTCCAATTAACTACATGGTAACTGGAAGTGACACTGTGGCCCAAACTGGTAGAGCACTAGACTTGGGCAAAAAAGTTCGGAGACCAGACCCTGAATTCAAGTTTCATGACTACAAGTTAACATCTTCAAAAGCCTTAAAAAGAACATAATGGGCCAGGTGCTGGTAGTTCACACTGATAATACTAGCTACTTGGGAGGCTGAGATCTGTGGATCATGGTTTGAAGCCTGCCTGGACAGGAAAGCCTGTGAGATTCTTATCTCCAGTTAACCACCATAAAGCCAGAAAAGGAGCTGTGGCTCAAGTGGTAGAGCACTAGCCTTGAGCAAAAAAAAAAAAAAAAAAAAGCTCAGGGACAGCACCCAGGCCCTATGCTGGCAAAACAAAACAATGAGTTAATATGGCAAGACCCTAAGTTGTGGCCCTGCCTTCTGGATCTTCACTCCATATAAAAGTGTCAAGATGGGCCAGGGTGGCCCTTGCTGCCTGATGTGTGATTTTGTCTATGCCTCTCTGAACATGAAAGCAGAACTCAAGGAAAAATCTAGTTTAATAAAGGGATAAAAATCCATGCCACTGAGAACATCAAAAGGGATTTGAGATTTTTCAGGTAAGGTGATAGTGATGTTATGCACAAAGACCCAGGACTAGTATGCTGTAACAAGTAAATGTGATGTGCTGGGGGGAACCAGACTCAGTACAGAACCCTAAAAAGAACCCTAAAATACAAAACAAGCTGCTGCATGCAAAGGGTAAGGAGCTGGGGTGTAAAGAGAACAGTGTTTATAAACTTTAATACAGAAAATCTATTTGATATTTATTAAACTTAGTTTCTCCAGCTATGGTTTGGCATTATACAAAGCATCTTAATGACACAGTAGAGTTAAAAAGATTTTTACAAATTGAAATGTGATACCCTTGTCTCCAAATATTTTAATTGCCATAAATTTGTTTAAAAATACACATTAAACGCATGTTTGACACTCTAAACTTTCTATAATCTCAATACCACAAAATACATATAATATACTATACAGATGTGGAAAAATCTAGTTAGTATATAATACTTTGCTCACCATTAACAGCTTTATTATGTGAAATGCACATACTGACTTAGAAATCCTAGCTTCTGAGCCCCAAAGTACCTCTAAAATTTTAATGTATTGCAACAAATAAAAATCACAGTATATAATTGAAATTTTGGTTGCAAATGTCAGATGCCTAAATATTCTGAATAAAAGAAATGTAAAATGAAGTTTTCGATCATGTACAAAACAAAGGCATCCTATTTAAGTCATTAACAGTACCTTTCTGTGGAACCAACAGACTTATTGTTTGTCAATAGTGTTACCTCCCCTCTAACCCCCCCACCCATATCAAATCATTATTTACCAAATAATTTTAAATTCAAATAAAAGGATTTTCAATAAATATATAAGTATTTCTATCCTCCATATACAAAATTTCTTAAAACCATTCAAAACGGAGGCTAGAAATTTTCTTAACTGTGCTTACCAACCCCACATCTGGCCCTCACTGAGCCATCTCTGTTGGTGAGCGCTGCTCCTCCCCCCTCCCCCTTTTAAATCCCAGTACTGTTGAATGCTCATGTCAGTGATTGGCCAGGTGTGTGCATGAAGTTGTAAAATGGGGACACTTCTTGAACAGCAACAACAAACTCAACAATATGGATTCATCATGGCATTGACTTGAAAGGCAGCATTTCCAAATAGATACTTTCCAGATAGGGACATAGTAGGTAGAGAATTACAATAGTGAAAAACTGAGAAGAAACCCTACATGGAAGCAGTATGAAGCAAAAACTAAATGTTACTAGAATTTCTGGCTGGGAGCTTTTCTAAAATGCTCACATAAAAGACGGCTTTCTTTCTCAAAATGGCAACTGACAGCTGAAGAATGGTAGCAAGGAGAAGTCCATGCAGACATTCCTGAAAACCAATTCTTTACATGATGGTTATTTAGGCTGCTATTTTAGGATACTTAATTGTCTTTCTGACTTGGCTGAGAACCGGAATACCCTATTCTGCAACCAAGTTCCATTAAAACCAGAGTTTGCTCCTCTTTCTATTCTCAGTTCTAGAGTCAGCAAAGTTTTCACTGTTGTTGTTTTTGATGGTATTAGGGTGTGAATTAAGAACCTCAAGCTTGCTAACCCAAATGCCCTATCACTTGAGCCATACATCAACCCCGAGTTCCTTTTAATTAACCAACTACGGGGTTCATATGAAATATCATTAGTAGATAAGTATGCCTTTATTAACTCTTAATAACTGACTTCCTATCACTTGCTAGCTTGGTTTTAGGGCCTGGAAGTCCTAACTCAATTTTTCCATTAGCAAATATATGAAAGGTATGTTGTCAAACATAACTATTTTGGCCTTTTGTCACTGTTACCTTCTAAGTCATTCAGTTTCAATGATTATTTCTTCCATCTTCTATTTAATGAATAGCAACCTTATGTGCATAATATTATTACTGGGAGAAAGTCTGCCTCTCACACACTGATATGTGAAGCTGAAATGAAGTCTGCATTGCATGGAACCAAGGAATGGGGAATATGAGTTACAGGAGTCTACATGGATTTGAAATGCTCTGGCTCCCCAAGTTACTTAGGCTTTTATTATTTTTTTTTGTTTTTTGTTTTTTAAAGCATCATCACAATCTGCCTAAAACAGGCATCCCCAGTACCAGTAAATGTTCCTGGGACCCAAACGCCTATAAATAGACTCCTATTATAAATCAAAATACATAAGCTTTTTTGTTTAATTAGCTACTGGAAAATTAAATCCTTCCCACCCTGTAAGAGCCCTGTATTACACTACATAAGGGCTCAAATATATTTTAAAAGTTAATTTACTACAAATCATAGTAATTAAGCTTTAACAATCTAAAGGAATACACATTGCACCCTTGAACATTAATATTCAAGGTATTAACAAGAAAGTGTCTTAGATCAATTTAATAAATAATGTGGAAATAGTTGCACTAAGCTAAAATACTAAACACACACATTTGGACAAACTAATTTCATGTTTTCATACATACATACATATATATATATATAAAGTGTGTATGTGTACATAATTTTTAAGATCCAAAGTTGTATACCTTTATACCTAGAAGAGTGCACAGCATAAGCCTCCTCGACACAGCTAGACATCACTAGCTGCTCTGAAACTCCACCGAGCCCTGGCCCCAGGACCAGCGCTTAGAACCAGATGTCTCACAATGCAAGCTCACTCACTCATTAAACACCAAGGTACCAAAGTTTCTGCCATTAAATACAAAATGATCTAGCTGATTCAAACCTTGAATGGAAAGAAACGATAATTAAAAACAACAGCAAAACAAACAAACAAAAGAACCCACAGTGAAATCTACTAAAGCCACAAGTGTGTCATTCAAAGTGCAGCCTAGAGGTCTATGGATCCCTAGTGCAAGAGTTCCCCAGGAAACAAACAAACAGAAAAAAAAAAAAAAGGCGTGTGTGGGCACGTGCACACATTAAATTGGTTTTTATACTGGAGAATTAAATCAGTAGTGGTCAATCTTCTTTGTTCTTCAACAGCTGTAGCTGTGCAGGTATCTGAAGTATGCACTGTTTATGGTCACTTCTTGACTCCTTGTCAAGAAAAAGGACAAGGAAAGGGCTGGATGCTTTGCAGCCAGACTGGGGCCTGAGGCTGAGCTGTGCAAGCTTGAATCGCCTAGAAGAGAGGCCTTCCCACCCCCTCCCTAGCCCAGCCTAACCTGGGCAAAACTACTGTGGCAATGTGATCCACTGCAGCTGGTCTGCTGGTTGCCTGAAGAGTCCAGTAGTGCAGGCTGCTGCCTCCTGGCATACAAGTGTGGTCTTAAAGAGCAGTCAACAGAGTAACTTTTAAAATAGTTGCTATTTCTGTAGTTAACTGGATACTAGATACAAGTCTTAGACTAAGTAAGTTTGTAGCCACTTGTCAAATTCAGGTTTAAATGGTTGGAAAACACCAAGGACCCCTCTACTGAGGTGGGAGGAATGGTCACCTGTAAGAGAGTCCAAGGTAGGTGGCTGGAGGAGACGATGCAGACTGGACATCTGAGGCGACAGACACAGAGGAGGAGGACGAGTCTCACAGTCTACAACATTGACAATTCAATTACTTAGGATTCTGATCCATTGCCCCCTTCCACAATGAAAAGCTGTTTAACACATTCTCCAAGAATTAATACAGTTTTAGAGAGAAAATATCTTAGGGCAGCACCATAAAACACATAGGAAACTCTGCTTAAACACCACAGCACTGTGACTCTGAATGCTCCCACTGCCGCCAAGCAGGACACACAAGAGGATAGAATGTACTGGAATCCAGAGGTGCCCTGTTAGCTGTGGCTGCTGAAGCCTAAAAAACCTAAGAACCTTTGCTCCTTCCACTTTTAGGACATCATTACAAATCAAGGAATTAGAGTTAGAGAAATCAGAGGACAGGACATAAATATACTTAAGTTAACCAGCCTCATGTCTTACTAAATGACTTGTGATTGCTGAGAAGTTGTCCTCTGAAGAGAAACTGTTCCTGGAACACTTTAAACTAGAAAAATACCAGAAGCAATTTCTCTACAGGAAAACAAGGTAAATTCATCTTAATTTGTAGATCTCAATCTTCAAATGATATGTAAAAATAACGAGGTACGAGACGATTGAGCAGCTCTATAGTAAGTCTGAGGCTGCAGGACAATGAAAGTTCACCAGCTTCATGTAGAAGATAGACAGATGTGGTGAATCTGATCAAAGTTTAAGTATCACAATGAAACCCCTTGTACAATTTACACTAATTTAAAAAAACAAGGAAAGAGAAAAGTTCACTAAGCTTCAGAAATAAGTTTAAAAGACTCACTGCACCACGGGAACTTGGGAGAATTTTCTATCCCTTTTACCCCTTTTCCTATTTCAAGTCTTAGCAATTATCTACAAGTAGTACGGCAATCCTTTGTCCAATTGGATGGATTCTTTTTTAGAATGAGAACAAGTTATTTTTTTTAAGCAGCATTATCCAATTGGTTAGACTAAGTCATATACCAAAACATGAGTTTTTCTGAAATTAAATCCTTACATGACTTTAAAAGAAGCTTTAAATGAAAGAATTTAAAATTATTACTCTAGAGGACCAACCATGTATAGAAGATCTAGTCCTAATGTAAAACATCATCTGTAAACAATCTGGAGAGTCTTCCATTTAAAGGTAAGATTTAAGGCACGCCAAACGTGATAGGGGCACTAAAAACAAAGTACAGAGGAGGATATATTTCTCACTCTTGAGTCCTATGTGCACCTTGTCGGGAAAGGTACTTTGATATATGTTTCTTACAGAGCTGCCTTCTTAAATTCTACCCTTGCTCTCTTCCCCTTTCCAAGAGAACTCATTTTGAACCAAGTTAGGTACACTTTTCTAGTGTGAATTTTCTGATTCCATCAGAAACATGCATCACTGATGAAGGCGTTTAAAAAGGGAAACTCATCATCCCAACGTGAGCATGAGAACTGTTGGCTGTACAGTGGAAGCAGATACACCGAAGCGCCTGTCCAATTCCATATCAGTCCCTGCAAGCTCTTTCTTCAGGAGTGTCACACTCTACTGTGGGGGAAAAATCTGCAAAGAGATCATTAACCTTCAAACATCATCAACTGAAGAGACATAGGCAGCAACCCCCATTGGGTTGGAGCAATTTTGTTTTTGAACAAGAGTAACTTATTCTGCTTCAATTAAGTGTCAAATAACTAGCAACAAAAATGAACACCTGGTCCTAATAAAATTCATAGTTTAAGATTGTCCTTTTATGATACCTTTCAATATGATATATTCCTAGAAAGTTTTATACCTGCTCTTTTGTAATGCATTAAAAGCATGTTATAGTCACCTTGTGATTGGTGTAGTGTTATTAACATGTTCACAGTTTTTGAAATAATGCATATCAAATCAGACATATTTCATTTTACAACCACATACAATGCCATTTCATATTTAAATGATCTTTCATGTGTAGAGGAATAACTGTAACACTAAGCATAAATTCTACAATAATAAAATTGTAGTTAAGAACTGAAATAATAGATAGTACGTGTAGAAAGAACACGTCCCTATTTTAGATGAATCAACTCTCACTCTTGGTAGAGCGACCACAAAAAGACATTAGGTAACAAAACTCCCCAAATACATAAATAAAAAGGCCTATATTAGATTTACACTAAATATTCAACAGAATAAATTTATAGTCAAAAAATAAGTTTTAAAGAAGCCCCAGTCTGGGAACTTAAAAATATTAAAATAAATAATTTTCACTTGATTAATTACGAATTGCAACTGGAACTTCAATCTTCTTATGAGATCAATAAAACTACCTTATCAATGTGCTGCAGACTGAAAAGCAATTAAATAAGTTTTTCACACTGGGAATACTGAAGGGGTCAATTGATATGATGGCTTTGGGTTATAAAAAACAACACATAAACCAAGGAGGAGAAACCATTCCTCATTCTTAGTGTCGACTAGGTGGCATGTTATGGCAGTTTTCCTTCGTGATGTGACACAGTGTTGTGGAGAAAATCAGAGGCAACGAGAATGTGTTCAGTTCAAGATATCAACTTGGCATCCTGGCGAAGCCAGTGTAGTCCCTGCCGGGTATAACGAGCTAGATCTGTCATGATGCTTGCATTAAAGATGAGAGGACCCATTACTTTATCCAGTTCAGCAAAGAATTCTAGAAAATGAAAAACCATTCATTAACATCAATCCCAAAACATTCTTAATCATTAATTAAAAATGTTCAGTCTAGACTGTAAAATAGCATCTGCATGAAGTAAAAAGCATGACTTCACCTGCCTTACAGAACTCTAATAATCCCTCTGCATATTACCTTTATAATAATCAAAATATTTATTTATTTATTTATGCCAGTCCTGGGGCCTGAAATCTGGACCTGGACACTGTCCCTCAGCTCTTCAGCTCGAGGATAGCACTCTACCACTTGAGCCATAGCACCACTTCCGGATTTTTCTGCTTATGTGGTGCTGAGGAATTGAACCCAGGGTCTCATGCATGCAAGGCAAGCACTCTACCACTGAGCCACCTTTCCAACCCTCAAAATATTTTTAAAAAGTAGCCTTCCTACACTGAATGACTTGGTTATGTTTTAGAATAAAGCATTAAAGTCTCTTGTTATATTGTTCTATAAGTTATATAACATTTTAAACAGAATGCATAGTCAGGAATTGTTATACATACATCTTGAAAATGGATGTGCCACTCACATGCAACAAACTCTTTGATTATACAAAATATTCTTTATGCACTGTTTTTGTGTAAGAGTTCAAGCCCCACAACCGACAGAAAGAAAGAAAGAAAGAAAGAAAGAAAGAAAGAAAGAAAGAAAGAAAGAAAGAAAGAAAGAAAGAAAGAAAGAAAGAAAGAAGTAGTGCTGGGTGATCACACTTGCAATTCTAGCTAATTCATGAGGCTGAGATCTGAGAACCATGGTCTGAAGCCAGCTTGAGCAGAAAAGTCTGAAAAGGCTATCTCCAACTAACCAGCAAAAGACACTGGGCTGGAGGGATGGCTCAAGTGACAGAGTACTGTGAATGAAAAAACTGAGTAAGAGCATGAGTACTGGCACCAAAACTAAAACATTAAAAAAAAAAAAAAAGCTGAGCACTGGTGGCTCATGCTCATGCCTGTAATCCTAGCTACTAAGGAAGCTGAGGATTGAGGATTGTGGTTCAAAAGCCAGCCCAGGCAGAAAAGTCCGTGAGACTCTTATTAACCAGCAGAAAACCAGAAGTGGCACTGTGGCTCAAGTGGTAGAGCGCTAGCCTTGAGCTGAAGAGCTCAGGGACAGCACCCAGACCCAGAGTTTAAGCCCCATGACCAAAAAAAAATAAAAGGCTTGGTGCCTGTGGCTCATGCCTATAACCTTTAGCTATTCAGGAGATGGAGATCTGATGATCAGAGTTCAAAGCTAGTCCTGGGATAGGAAAAGACCATGAAACTCTTATTGCCAATTAACTACCAAGCCAGAAGTACATCTGTGGCTCAAGTTGTGGAAAATCAGCCTTGAGTGAAAAAGATAAACAGCATCCAGACCCTGAGGTTCAAGCCCTAAAACTGTCCCCCTCCCAAAAAAAGGCATCCCAAAAAAGCATTCTTTGTTAAGTTTCCCAAAGTACCTCCTATGCAGTTAAATAAGACACCGTATTCAACTCAACACTGAGAAATTAATCATTAGTAAATAGAAGATAATATCTCCATTTTTATATTTTGCTAGGTCTAAGTAGCCAGTATCATTTGCTTTTTATATAAGGATAGTACATAGGAAGATTAAGTTCAAGGCCAGTCTGGGCGATATAGCAAGGAAAATAAAACCAGAGATATTAAATATAAAATGTAAAAGAGCCGGGCGCTGGTGGCTTACGCCTGTAATCCTAGCTACTCAGGAGGCTGAGATCTGAGGATTGCGGTTCAAAGCCAGCCCGGGCAGGAGAGACCGTGAGACTCCTATCTCCAATAAACCACCAGAAAACCAGAAGTGGCGCTGTAGCTCAAGTGGTAGAGCGCTCGCCTTGAGCTGAAGAGCTGAGGGACAGTGCCCAGGCCCAGAGTTCAAGCCCCACGACCGACAAAAAAAAAAAAAAAAAAAGAATGCACATATGAGACAACAGAAGAAATCTGAGGACATACCAGATATTAGACAATATAAGATTTATTGTTAACTTTGGTGCTATGTTATGTTTTTGAAAAGTCTGCATCATTTTAAGGATGCATACCAAAAAATTTTTTAAAAATCATGTATTTGCTTTAAAATATTCTTCAGGAGCCAGCCCCTGGTGGCCTATGCCTGTAATGCTAACTACTTAAGAGGCTGAAATTTGAGGATCCTGGTTTGAAGCCAGCTGGGACAGAAAAATCCCTGTGAGACTCTCATCTCCGATTAACCATTCAAACACCAGAAGTGGCGCTATGGTTCAAGTAGTAGAGTATTAGCCTTGAGCAAAATAGAGCTCAGGGACAGTTCCTAGGCTCTGAGTTCAAACCCCACAACAACAACAACAATTCATTCTGCAGGATAGCCACGAGCCAGTGACTAACACCTGTAATCCTGACCTGGTTCAATGCCAGAAATGCCTGGTTCAATGAGCAGAAAAATCCATGAAACTGAGCAAAAGCAGCTTAAGGACAGTGTTCATATGTCCTGAGTTCAAGCTCTAGGATCACACGCAAACACAATTCCATTGGAGGGGGCTGATGGTACCAGAGGAAAAGCGAGGGTACATACATACAACTAGCAAACTGTATTAAAAGGTATAAAAGTGGCTTAATAGGCTAGGAAGGTAGCTCTGTTGCACAGTGCTTACCTTGCATGCATGAGGCTCTGGGTTCGATTCCTCAGCACCACATAAGCAGAAAAAGCTGGAAGTGGTGTTTTGGCTCAAGTGGTAGAGTGCTAGCCTTGAGCTGAAGAGCTGAGGGACAGCACCCAGACCCAGAGTTCAGGCCCCATGACCAACAACAACAACAAAAAAAGTAGCTCAATATAACGTTCTTTGCTTTGTAGTCAATGTTTGAAAATTGCAAGAACTATTTCCCAGACTTTAAAAAACAACAACAATTAAAAAAAAAAATCAGTTACAGCTGGGTGATAGTGATTCACACCTGTAATTCTAGCTACTCAGGAAGCTGAGATCTGAGAAGCATGGTTCAAAGCCAGCCCAGACATGAAGTAACATGAAGACTCTCATCTCCAATTAACCACCAGAAAGCCAGAAGTGGAGCTGTAGCTCAAGTGATAGAGCTTTAGCCTTGAGCTAAAAAACCTAGGGAACAGTGCCTAAGCTCTGAGTTCAAGCCTCAATACCAGAACACATGTTGTATACACATATAAATAAAATCAATTATATTTAGTGTGATTACGAAGCAAAAGAGACTAATAGCAAACTGATTATGATTAACTATAAACTAGGTGATAAATGAAATACCTATCAGATAAATAATTACAAAAGATTCCTTTTACCAGTTACAATGCTCAAAGCTTCCCCCAGCACCCTACCTACCTTTTTGCTCTTTGGAAAGCTGTTCAGCTTGGTCCCAAATTTCGGTGGCATAGAGGAAATTAGAGGTAACCTGAACATAGCTGGCTGCCATCTGGTGGATCTTCTGCGGAATGGTCACTGAAGAACCACTTGCTGAAGCACTACTGCCCCCAGAGGAGTAACTTCCAGAATTGCCTGGTGACAGCTTTGGGGAAACTGGGGAAGGCATCCCAACAGCTTTGCTACACATGGAAAAAAAGGAAGCATGTTCATATAGACATAGTGAACTTAGGAAATCAATGTACTAATAGATCTTCCTACGTAAAGGCTTTTAGAATCTAAACATTCATTTAGGCCAGAGGGGCTCCCAGAGAACAATTTCTTCTAAAGTACTGAAGGCCACTGGGAGTTAGAGGGGATTACCATCCCAGACTCATCTACTTACGGCTGGCACTCTACCACTTGAATCACAATTCTACTTCTAGCTTTCTGCTGGTTAGTGGATGTAAAGTCTCAAATATTTGTCTGCCCTGGCTTCAACCCTCTATTCAGATATCAGCCTTTGGAGCAGCTAGGAGTTTTTCTTTCTTGTTCTAGGGCTTAAACTCTGTGTCTGGGCTCTGTCCCTGAGTACCTTTGTGCTCAAGGCTAGTGTTCTATCACTTGAGCCACAGCTCCACTTCCAGCTTTTTCTGTGATTAATTGGAAATGAACAGTCCCACAGACTCTCCTGCCTGGCCTGGCTTTGTACTGTGATCCTTAAATCTCAGCCTCCTGAGAAGCTAGGATTACAGGTGTGAGCCACCAGTGCCCAGCCTGAACCTGGGCTTTTAATTGTGAGCAATAAGCACCAGGCTTCTAGATCTTTTGTTTTAATAACACCTTATAATGAGAGCTTCAAATCTCAAGAAGTCAGGATCCTTCACTCCTAGTTCAACACACGTTCCATCTCTTCAGGCATGCAATTATATACTTTTCCAATTGTTTTACAAAAGGTTGGATGCAATTCACAACCCCCCAAACTGTGACAGTATGTGAGAACATCTTTTCTTGAGCTCTGTAATTTCAGGTATTTTTCTTAGTCTAGTTCAACCAAATTCTTCAGAGCTAACAAGGAAGTACAGCCTTCAAAGGGCAAGCATATCAATTGTCCTGCCAATCAACTGTGTCTTAGAAAACAAGTATATTGGGCTGGGAAGGTGGCTCAGTGGTAGAGTGCTTGCCTTGCATGCATGAGGCCCTGGGTTCCATTCCTCAGCACCACATAAGCAGAAAAAGCTGGAAGTGGCGCTGTGGCTCAAGTGGTAGAGCGCTCGCCTTGAGCTAAAGAGCTGAGGGACAGCGCCCAGGCCCAGAGTTCCAGCCCATAACCAACAAAAAAAAAAAAAAAAAAAAGAAAGAAAGAAAGAAAAGAAAACAAGGCTATTGAAATCTTTCATGTTATTTTTAGTACTACTCAATATTGGGAGAATGAACAAGATTTCAATAATAAACAGAAAAAAAATTGTGTATAAAAAACTGTATTTAGAAACATTTTTAGCATTATAAATTTGGTTAAGAAAACCACAAGTATAGGGGCTGGGAATGTGGCTTAGTTGTAGAGTGCTTCCCTAGCATTCATGAAGCCCTGGGTTCGATTTCTCAGTACCACATAAACAGAACAAGCTGGAAGTGGTGCTGTGGCTTAAGTTGGTAGAGTGCTAGCCTTGAGCCAAAGAAGCTCAGGGACAGTGCCCAGCCCTGAGTTCAAGCCCCAGAACCGGCAAAAAAAAAAAAAAAAAAAAAGAAAGAAAGAAAGAAAAGAAAAGGAAAAAGAAAAAGCACTTGCCTACCACATACAGGCCCTGGGTTCAATCACCAGCAGTGGGAGAAAAAAAAAAAAAAAAGAATTGGACAGCAGTATGCCAGTGCCTAAAGCCTGTTATCTTTTTTTTTTTTTTTGGTCAGGTGTCAGGCTTGAACTCTGGGCCTCAGCTCTTCAGTCAAGGCTAGTGCTCTACCACTTGAGCCACAGCACCACTTCTGGTTTTCTGGTGGTTTATTGGAGATAAGAGTCTCATGGACTTTTGTGCCTGGGCTGGCTTTGAACAATGATGCTCAGATCTCAGCCTCCTAAATAGCTAGGATTACAGGCATAAGCCACTGGCTCCTGGCTCTTTTTTATTTTTTTCTTTAAAGCCACATTCCCAATTTCTTACAAATTCATTAATTTGTAAGAAAGTAATCATTTTTCCCTTACTCATTTTAATATTATACATAAACCTGTCAAAAATAGTATTTTATAGAAAAAATTTTTACCTACCTTCCCAAACCAGGTGATGGTGCTTGAGAATTATTATAAGAATTCTGTAGGAAAAAAAATGTACTTAAATATTTAAAAGAAAACAATCACTACTTACAAAGTATGAAATATATTAAACAATTTGGACTAGATCTTGATTTTATGCTTTATAAATTTAAGAACCAAAATGCATGTGTGTATGTGTGTATATGTAAATGCACAAAAGTTATTAGGTGAGTGCAGGTATGTTCTAGAAGACTTCACAGAAGACACAAGGAAGCAATAAGTAACACTGAGTCATTGATAAAGGGGAGAGGACAGGAATGACTCATACTATGCATAAAATGACAGAAGAGAAGAGTATATATGACCCATATAGGCTGACTAAGACAGAGGTGTAACAAGAAATAAAAGTCCCTTGTAAGCCAGGAATAAGCATTGTGGACCTGATCCTATAGACAGATTGAGTTACTGAGAGGTGTTAAGTCATAAGTGGAGCAAGATTTTAGGAAACTTAAGTATAGAGGGAGAGGAAATATGGCTCTATGGTACAGAACTTGCCTAGTATAGGGGTCAAGGAGGAGAAAAGAAAGAAGGCAGAGGAGGAAGAAGAAGACGATAGAAGAGGAGGAGAATCTGGAGAAGGTCAAAAGATATAAATATGGCAGCTTCATATAGCTAAATATGTGCTACAATCAGGTATATATGTATTTAAAAACTTTACCAAGAAACTTCTAATCTTTTTGAGGGTTCTCAAATAACAGTTCCTCTCCTGCTGTGTTTATCTAAATGAGAGCATGTCTATGGTAGGGATGGGATGCTATTATAAATTTTGTTTCTTAAGAAATGGAGCCCTTCTTTTCCATACTTACTTTTAGGTGCTCTGTCAGTGTTTTTGAGTACTTAAGAGCATTTTCCTTCTTCAGTTTGAATAATCTTAGGTACAGCAAAGACTGGCATCTCAGGCTAGCCAACAGAAAAGGAGAGTTGTATTTACCAGGAAGGAGATTAACCTATCTGCACTGACAAGCTAGTATTACTGCAAGATAGTACAGGACTAGCTCAAGGGAGTGATCAGCAATACTAACCCTTAGGCAAACTCAAAGGTGTATATGCACAGTAGGAAGGGAAGGTGGCAATGAAACCTGGGACTAGCTTCACAGTGGATGATGATATTCAAAAACCAAAACTTTATCCCAAGGGCACCAATATGTCATAGTAACATATTTATTTAAAAATTGCTAAGTAAGTGGGGTGCCAGTGGCTCACACCTGTAATCAAAGCTATTCAGAAGGCTGAATTTGAGGTCTGAAGCCAGCCCAGGCAGAAAAGTGAGACACTTATCTCCAATGAATTATTCAACCAGAAGTAGCATTGTGGCTCACGTGGTGGAGCACTAGCCTTGAGCAAAAGAGCTCAGGGCCCTGAGTTCAAGCCCCAAAACTAACAAAAAAAAAAAAAAATTGCTAATAAGCTGGACAATGTTAGCTCAAGCTTATAATCCTAGCTACTTAGGAGACTGAGATCTAAGGATTGTGGTTCAAAGCCAGTCTGAGAAAGTCTGTGAGACTCTTATTTCCAATAAACTACTAAGAAAATGCCAGAAGTAGTGCCGTGGCTCAAGTGGTAGAGCACTAGCCTTGAGCAAAAGAAGCTCAGGGACAGGGCCCAGGTCCTGAGTTTAAGCCCCAGGACTGGCAAAAAAAAAAATTAATTAAATTAAACGATAAAATTAGGAAACTAAGCCAGGAGCTGGTGGCTCATGCCTGTAATCCTAGCTACTTTCGAGGCTGAGATCTGAGTATCATGGTTCAAAGCCAGCCAGGGCAAGAAAGTCCATGAGACTCTTATCTCCAATAAACCGCCAGAAAACCAGAAGTGGTGCTGTGGCTCAAGTGGTAGAGCACTTGCCCTGAGTTGAAGAGCTGAGGGACAGCACCCAGGCCCAGAGTTCAAGCCCCACAACCGACAAAAAAAATAGGAAAATAAACTATGAAGATTACAACTTGAACGGAATCTGACCTATATAAAATAGGCTCTACATCATTACCACCAGCAGCAGCAGCAGCAGCAGCAGCAGCAGCAGCAGCAGCAGCAGCAGCAGCAACAGCAGCATCAGCAGCATCCCTGCCTGCTTAACCAGTATCGACCACTTCTCCCTGATACTCTTTTTTAAGCTCCTTGAAAGTTTCTTATTCCTTTTACTATTTAGCCGTGTGTGTGTGTGTGTGTGTGTGTGTGTGTGTGTGTGTGTGTGTGTGTGTGTGTGTGTGTGTGTGTGTGTGTGTGTGTGTGTGTGTGTGTGTGTGTGTGTGTGTGTGTGTGTGTGTGTGTGTGTGTGTGTGTGTGTGTGTGTGTGTGTCTCTCTCTCTCTCTCCCCTTCTACTTAAAATAAGTAAGTTTCCCTATCCTTTATTCCTTGACCTACATCTTTATTCCTCGCTTTTGCCTAGGCTGGCTCTGAATCTCAATCTTCAGATCTCAGCCTCATGAGTAGCTAGGATTACAGACTTTTTTTTTTTTGGTCGGCCGTGTGGCTTGAACTCTGGGCCTGGGCGCTGTCCCTCAGCTCTTCAGCTCAAGGCGAGCGCTCTACCACTTGAGCTACAGCGCCACTTCCGGTTTTCTGGTGGTTTATTGGAGATAGGAGTCTCACGGTCTCTCCTGCCCAGGCTGGCTTTGAACCGCGATCCTCAGATCTCAGCCTCCTGAGTAGCTAGGATTATAGGCGTGAGCCACCAGCGCCAGGATTACAATCTTGATTACAGGCTCTCTCTACTTGTAATATCCTTACATACACTTTTCTTTCAAAGTACTGAACTCATATAGTTGTACAATTTTTTTTTTCTTTCATACTGGGGTTTTAACTCAGGGTCTGGGCACTATCCTTTAGCTTTTTCTTTTTTTTTTTTTTTTGTCGGTCATGGGGATTGAACTCTGGGCCTGGGCACTGTCCCTCAGCTCTTCAGCTCAAGGCTAGCGTGCTACCACTTAAGCCACAGTGCTACTTCTGGTTTTCTGGTGATTTATTGGAGATAAAGAGTCTCATAGACTTTCCTGCTGGGCTCCCTTAAACTGCTATCCTCAGATCTCAGCCTCCTAAGTAGCTAGGATTACAGGTGAGAGCCACTGGTACCCAGCTCCTGTATTTTTTGTTTAAGGCTGGAGGCTCTACCACTTGAACCACAGATTCACCAAGTTGTACAATTTTTGATGAATTTCTGTCCCCCGACACTAGATTATCAACTCCATAATGAATAGATCCATGGCAGATTTATTCATAGCTGAATTCTCAGTGTTAAACACAATGCCAGGTAAAGAACTAGTAAACTGATGACACTTCCCTAGAACAAAGCAAATAAATTACATTCCTTACTGTCCTACTGTCCTAAGGAAAAGGATATATGTGAATGGAGAGCTATAAAAAGAGCCAGAAGGGGCTGAGAAGGTGGCTCAATGGTAGAGCGCTTGCCTTGCATGCCTGAGGCCCTGGGTTCGATTCCTCAGCACCACATAAGCAAAAAGAAAAAGCCGGAAGTGGCGCTGTGGCTCAAGTGGTAGAGCGCTAGCCTTGAGCTGAAGAGCTGAGGGACAGCGCCCAGTCCCAGATTTCAGGTCCCACGACCGGACCCAAAAAAGAGCCAAAACTAGATGGCTAATTAACTCAATGTTAGTGCCCAGTATCAGTCACATGTCACCAAGAAGGCAAGGGATCAGACACTGACAACTACTAAAATCTTGCAGTAGGCATTTGGAGTCATTTCCTGCTTCACCCTTAAGAACAGGTTTGTGAAAAGTCATTATCTATAACATTCTCAAGAGCATAGAGCACAATTTATCAAGGAACTGCCCATTATCTAGCAAAGGCTATAATACTCATCACTTACCAAAGCACTGTGAGTCTTTTATCTGCAGCTGTAGCATCAGGAGCCAAATAATTCTTTAACTTCATAGTGTATCTGTGAATTAAGAGAACAAATGACAGGTAGATTAGAGTATGTCACCTTAATCTTACAGCTTCTTTTGTCCTCAAAGCTTTAGAATCAAATCTAAATAAAACCAAAAAACTGTCCAAGGAAAATGAAAAACAAAACATTAGTAATCTCCTTTGGTTTACTGTATCTGGTTTTATCAGCTTCCTCCAAGATGGACCAGAGTGGTATTGTCAATGATGTGGCAAATTTTTCCACTTACTTGATGAGCTCCACTGTGTCTGAATACATAGGGAATGGAGATTTCGATTCCTGAGCATTCTTCTCTAAGGCATTCCCACATTCAATGAAAGATACCACAGCATCCAGATAGTATACTGCTTTCTCAAACCTATCAGACTAAAGAAGGGAGAATGAAAGCACTGTAATATAAAATTACAAAGGGATATTTAAACTAATTTGATTAAATATACAAATGTAAGGAGATTACATACCAATGCATCTGCATTGTGCTTTAGCTTTTTTGCTTCTTGTAAATAATGGTCTGCTGAATAATTTCTGCAATGTAAATTTTCACTATAAATATAATGGCAAATTATTTTCATAAGATAATTCCAGTTCATTTTAGTCTCCCCTAATTCTCACATTCTCAAAACAAGCTATTACCAAGCATTTCAATTCTTTTCTGACAAATGTTTATGGTGGATTAAGAACACTGAATTGTCTCGGCCAACTCATGGCCTTCACAGAATCAGCTCCCTGGTGTTAAAGACTAATTAATGTAAGTTGTTTTAAAGATTTCAAGTAAGAAATACATAACTTTTTATCAGATGCAAAAGAACCCCAACATTGCTCTACTTTATTACACCTACTACAAACAGTAATATTAGCAGCAATAAGTTTCTCAGAAGGACAACCATTAGCATCCTCCAGCGAAGTTAGCAAGCTCAGTTAAAGGAATAAACAGTTGGATGCGTGGTTGTTTTAAAATTAAAATCTGAATATGCTGTATATTATACACAAATATGAATCCCCTTAGTTAGTGACAGAAATTAAAATGAGTTTTTTAAGGACTGATTGCTAAATGGCACACAGAAGCATCATATTCATCTTACCTGTCATCAAAGACAAGCTTTGTTCTCCGAGGCTTAGAAGCCTCAGGAGTTGGTGTAGTTGTAGGGCAGTTAGAGGAGCTATTTGGAGCCTTTTCCTGATAATTAAAATAAAAATAATAAGTAAATAAGGTATTTCTTCAGTCACTGTAAAAATGAAAACAAAGCTTCTCTGCTGAGTAATTAATTTATAATAAAACTTTAGTAGAATAAGTCAATTTTATGTAAACAAAATACTAAATTTCCTTATTTATTGAGGACTTACTTCATGGCAGGCACTTGGACTATGCATTTGTTAAAATGTGGAGAAATGGGTGCTGGTAGCTCATGCCTGTAATCCCAACTACTCAGGAGGCTGAGATACTGAGCATTGTGGTTTGAAATCCTTGAGATTCTTATCACCAATTAACCACCAAAAGACCAAAGGTGGAGCCTTGGTTCAATAGGTAGAGCATTAGCCTTGAGCAAAAAGCACAGGGACAGTGCTCCAACCTTGAGTACAAGCTCCAGGACTAGCACAAAAAATAAACAAAACATAAAACATAAACCTAGTATCAACACGGTAGTACTACTTCAAAGCCAGCCTTGGCAGGAAAGTCTATGAGACTCTTATCTCCAAAACTGGAAGTGGGCTGTGGCTCAAGTGGTTGAGGGCTAGTCCAGAGCTGAAGAACTCAGGGATAGCCCCCGGGCCCAGAGTTCAAGCCTCTCGACTGACCAAAAACAAAAACAACAAACAAACAAAAACAGAACTATCTCTGGATAGGGAGTACTCTTCTGGGACCCAAGGGCCAAACTCCCTACAGCACTATTGCTCTTGGGACTCAGGGGAGCACCATGTGTGCTCAGAGACAAAGACAAATCATTCTAGTTCCAAGACTTTGCATCACACCTCGGGGGAACACTAGTTTTCAGCTTCTTCCTTGTTTTCTAAGGGCAATGCCCAAGTCTTTGATGTGGGAATTTTTATGCAGTATAGCCATGAATTTCGGTTGCTTGAGCTAACCCAATCTGTGGTGGTTTGTTGTGGCAGCACTGGGAAATGAATACTAAAATGAGTTATAAACACAATTACTAAAAATGTTGAGTTTCAAATTTCATCAGCAAAGCTCTGAAGCTTTGTTCTTTCCGTACTCATTGCTTCTTTTTGTTTATATCAGTAGAGGTGCTTATATTCAGGGTCTAGCACTGTTCCTCAGATTTTTCATTCACAGTTGGTACTCTACCACCTTGGCCACACCTCTAGTAATAGCTTTTTTTTTTTTTTTTTGGTTAGTAGTGGGGCTTGAACTTAGAGACGGGGCATTGTCCCTGAGCTTTTTTATTCAAGATTAGCACTCTACCTACCACTTTGAGCCAAGAGCCACTACCAGTTTTCTGGTGGTTAATTGGAGATAAGAGTCTCATGGACTTTCCCCCTGGATAGCTTTGAACTGCGATGCTCACATCTCAGCTGCCTGAGTAGCTAGGATTACAGGTGTGAGCCACTAGTGCCTTGCTAGTTCACTGAAGAGTCTTGTGGATTTGTCTGCCTTGGCTAGCTTCGAATGTTGATTCTCAGATTTTAGCCTCTTGAATAGCTATGGTTATATGCATGAATTAAATGAGCATTTATTACATGTTATGGTGTGACGAATGGTACATGCAAATGATCTGATACTGGGTGAAGTAAATAAACTGCTAGGTACAAGACAGCTAACCCTTCAAGCTCCTATTAACTTCAGACTTTGTTTAAACTCTACTTCCTTCTGGAAAAATTCATATTAAGATACACATATGCCTTTTAAGGTTTCCTACGGGTTCTGTTTATTTCTATCATGATTCTTATCAAAATTTTGAATTGTTTAGATAGAAACTGATATTTTAGATTCCAAAGACTGTAAGACAATTTTCATTTTGTTATTTTTGTCATTTTTAAACTTCAAATTCCAATACCACTGACAGAAGGGGAAAATTGCAGACTGCTTTTTTTTTTTTTGGTCGGTTGTGGGGCTTGAACTCAGGGCCTGGGTGCTGTCCCTCAGCTCAAGGCAAGCACTCTACCACTTGAGCTACAGCGCCACTTCTGGTTTTCTGGTGGTTTATTGGAGATAGGAGTCTCAGGGTCTTTCCTGCCCAGGCTGGCTTTGAACCGTGATCCTCAGATCTCAGCCTCCTGAGTAGCAGACTGCTTCTTTTTACAAGCAAGCAAGAGATCTCATATCCTGCAGCTAAAGGATGGGAAATGAACAGCCCATATGCAAGCAGGTGGAGAGCTAGAGTAGTGAAGGAGGCCAACAGATAGCAGGTAAACTCTCCAGACTAATACAGAGCTGGGTGTTCAGTTGGACAGAAAACCTGTACAGTTCAATTTCAGAAGTTCAATTTCAATGACCTCAACTTAAGAATTTTTGTTACCCATTAACTAATCTTTCAACTCAAACTTTTGCTTACTTAAACCCTAGGTAATAATCCAGTGGATTATAAAATTAATATTTTAGGTATTTTCTTAATTTTCTCTGATTTTAGTAAGCTTCTGATCAGAACACTTTAAAAGTAAACAAACCCAAGAACGAAGAGACAAACGGTACATGGTCTCCCTGATAAGTGGATGCTAAATCCAAAAGGTTAGGTGATACGACAAAACTAACAGGACTTAAGAAACAAAGAACTCCCGCTCATCTGGTTGAACCACTACTAAATATCCCCATGCTGCTGATCACAAACATGGTATATAACATGTGAACACTGTTATATATTACAGACTGTGGTAGACAATTTGCTCCAGGGAAGTTAGAATGAACTTGTGACTTTGAAATTATGTAATCATTTAATCACAATCAAAAAAAAAAAAAAAAAGAACCTCGGGGAAGGGAGGGAGGGAGGGGATGGTAGGGGGAAAACAATGGAGGGGGGTAACAATGTTCAAGAGGAAGTGTACTCATAACCTCACTCATGTAACTGTAACCCTCTGTATAGTAGCTTTACAATAAAATAAAATTAAAAAAAAAAAAAAAAAGAAAAAGAAAAACAGAAGGGGTGGGCCAACGGGGTGAAAAGTGATAACACAGGTCAAGATGTATTATGTACACATACTGCTTAGCTAACTGGCTAAAATAATTCAATATATATCCTACAAAATTAAGAAAAGTGAGGGAAGAGGTGGGTTGGGAGGGCAGGGTGAGAATGTTGAAAGGGGTGACATTGATCAAGATGCACTCGTTTCACAAACTGCTTTGTTGAGTGGTAACTCCTCTGTATAACTACTTAAAGATAATAAAAATATATTTTTATTTAAAAAAAAAAAAAAGTAAACAAACAACCTGGTAAACAGAGTGAAGACCTATTACAGCACAGCCTTGAAAAAGCTTCTTGGATCCAAGCGAATAACATTTAAATACATTATGAATATGTTAATAATAATGAAGATTATTTCAGTGACAACTCAGCTATTTTTTCTATTTCATAAACCAAAGCCAAATGATTGTCTTGTCACTTTATGTGGTATATTAACTAGAAAGCCTAATGCCAAGAAACCCAAACTGTATTTCAAACCAGTCTAGAATGCAAATTTTAGCACTGCCATCTTTTTGTGCTTATTTAAAAAACATCTATGAACAATTCTAATAAGCATGTGGCCAAACTGGTCTATTGCTTTCATCATTTGAAATCACTGAAGTCTATCATCAATATCCCAGAGTAAAATGCCAAAGACTACTGATTTAATGGGAAGTTTTCAAAAATTTCAAAAAATATTGTCACCCTGAGGAGATAACATGGCAATGAGTGTGATTTTCAGGGTTGGAAGTGTGGTTCAGGTAGTAGAGAGCCAGCCAGTGAATAAAGCATCAGAGTCCCATTCTCAGAATAAAAACAAAGATGATTTTCAGAAGCTTAGTCCTCAACACCATACCTTAGCTTCCTTAGAACTACTGGAAGTCTTCCCTTCAGTCTTTTTCTGTTTTGATGCGGAGGAACTGCTTTTGCTGCTGCTACTATTTTCCTTGTTGCTATTACTGCTTGACTTTAAGGAAGAAGACTGGCTAATAGTCCTCTTCCGAGAGCTATGCTCTGTTTTTGACTCTTTTGAAGGAATAGGCCCAGCAGGTGAAGGTAACAAGTCCTTTTCTTTTGCAGCACTCTGCTTAGATGATCTGCCAAACAAAGCAAACAAAATCATTTTCTGGGGTGCAGGGGTGATATATTTTTCCATTTTTCTTTGCCTGCTTTCAAGACAAATTTAGCCCCAACCCCATATGATTACTAAGATATGTTGCTATTGAGACTGTAAATTACATGAGATGAGCTTCTTTGTCTTTTTTCCTCTCCCTATTCCCTTAATCTTTGTCTTTATTCAATTGTATATCCAGTGCCTAAAACATGACTTAGCAAATAGTAACTACTTAATAAATGATAGGTGGATGATGAATGAGTAAATAGGTATTTTGGAAAAATATTAATGCTCTAAGTTAGCAACTGGTCTTTCAAGTTTTATAAAGCTTGCCATCTACATCTACCCGGAAAGTAACTTTTTTTTTCTTTAACTTTTACATCAATTTTATTCTCTGAGTGAAGCTGTATGAGTTAAAGAATCCCCACATTGCCAGGTGCTGGTGGCTCACACCTGTAATCCTAGCTACTCAGGAGGCTGAGATCTGAGGACTGTGATTCAAAGCCAGCCCCGGGAAGGAAAGTCCGTGAAACTCCAATAAACCACCAGAAAACCAGAAGTGGCACTGTGGCTTCAGTGATAAGAGTGCTTGCCTTGAGCTGAAGAGCTGAGGGACAGTGCCCAGGTCGAGTTCAAGCCCTACAACTGCCAAAAAAAAAAAAAAAAAAAAAGAAAAAGAAAAAAGAATCCCCACATTACCAACTATTGTAGGAATCATATTCCTTCTTTTTTCTTTCTTTTTTTTTTTTTTGGGTCCGGTCATGAGGCCTGAACTCTGGGCCTGGGCGCTGTCCCTCAGCTCTTCAGCTCAAGGCTAGTGCTGTACCACTTGAGCCACAGCACCACTTCCGGCTTTTTTCTTTTTGCTTATGTGGTGCTGAGGAATCGAACCCAGGGCCTCGAGCATGCAAGGCAAGCGCTCTACCACTGAGCCACCTTCCCAGCCCTATTCATTCTTTTTTCTTCTTTTTCTCGTCTTGAGGCTTGAACTCTGAGCCTGGGTGCTGTCACCGTTCAAGGTGAGTGCTCTACCACTTGAGCCACAGCGCCATTTTGTTTTCTAGTGGTTCACTGGAGATCAGTCTCACAGACTTTCCTGCCTGGTCTGCTTCTGAACTGCTATTCTCAGATCTCAGCATCCTGAGTAGCTAGGAAGACAGGTGTGAGCCACTGGCGCCTGGCTAATATTCCTTCTTACATGTACAACATTTCATACTCAACAATGAGTTCTGGGTTGCAAAAGAGGATTTACTGTTTGCACTTGTCTTAAGTCTTTGTTACAAATTAAACAAAGACATACACACAAGTGATACAAAAGTAACAACTCTTTTACTCCATACTCACCCTTACTCCATGAAAAAAAAGTGAGAAAAAGCAGGTGAATGTTAAATGCTTTCAATCCCTATAAATTAAAATAAAAACCTCCCACTGTTTAGTATATGTATGTTGTGAATGTATATCAAAATCGATTACTAATAAAAGGAACACTATAAAATGTCCTTAAAAAGTACCCAGTGATCCACAAAGGTTAAAACTGACATGCAAAATGTTTGGGGGACATACTCTCTGCTGCTGGGCGTCTTGTGGCTGGATGAATTCTTGTCTTCTGTTTTGGGTTTTTTGCTTTCATTGGCCCGGCTATCATCTTCATTCTGGACAAAAAACCGAAAACAGCAGATACTATGTCTGATTTTTTTTTTTTCCCCATCTAACCAGCTTTTACCACTAGAAATCCCCAAACAGTAGATCCCTGATAAACTCTCATATAGAAGGTGAGGAGTGGACAATTGAAACAATGTATAATAAATAAGGTCTTAAGTCTGAGAAAGGTTATTTTAGATACATAGAACCCAAATGCTGAAACAGATTTCCTATGGTCTTGTACAATATCTTCTGTACATAATGGCTTTGGAAGAGGAGGTATCCACAAATTACAAACAAGATTTAATCCATATACAGTAAACTCCACTCTTGAAAGGTACAAAATTCTATGCCATTTAGTGTATTTACAGAGTTGTACAACATCACTGCCACCAATTTTAGAATTAACCAGTAATCTTAACTATGACTTGATCTGAATGTCACATAGAAGAGAATGGCTAACTAATACCACTCCCAACTAAGCCTTCAATAATGTTATAAAGGGCAATTTACAGTGTTAGCACTTCTTTCTCCTTTCTCTGAAACAGGGGCCCCAGGTTATTTCTTATTTAATTATCATCTTGCTTTCCTGAGGGAGACAGGTCCTCAAGAGACTATTCATATACATTTTCAACAGGGCCTTGGGCTCATCCCCTACGTTCACTTATAGTTTTTAACCTACTTGGCATTTTGGGTCTGAGATTTCTACAGCACTTCAGATTCTAAAATAAATAATAATCATAAAAAAGTCACAAACCTTATGTTTCCTCTTGCCTTTGTTAGAAACTTTTTCTGAAGTTTGCTTCTGAGCCTCTCTTGTGTGCTTTTCTGGCACATTTTTCTTTTCCCCCTTGGGTGGCTCTGTTTCTTTGTAAGGCTTTCCTGGTATTCTAGTCAAGAGATTCAGGTCAATCTTCACGATAAGTGGATACCTGTCATCAGGCTCACTGAGGGGTGAAAGGAGTTCCTTCTCTTCCATAGGAGAGAACATTCGTTGCCGAAAAAAACTATCTTCTTCCTCCACAGAGGAGGGCTTAACAGGAGTCCTATTGCTGTCAGGGTACTTAGGAGTTTGTGAGGAAGGGGGAAGGCTCTCGCTTTCATCTGAATCTGAGGACGAGGTATCTGTTTCTATGATTTCCCGTGACTTCTGGGAAGATTTACTTGTTGACTTATATTTCTTTTTCTCTGCTGTAGGCCGAGGAGAAGATTTGGACTCTTTTTTTATATTCGGCTTCCTTGAGCCTTTGGTGGCTGCTTTGTGTCTGCTGGAGGGGATGCTAGTAGCCATGTCTACAGGGGTCTCACTTTCTATCTTTAGCCCTCCACGAGGCTCTTCAGCAGCTGCTTTCTCAGCTTTTTTGGGTTGTTTTTTGCCTACAGTTCTCCTCTGTGTTGTGCTGTCACTTTGTGCAGGAGATTTCTGCCTGCTGCGCCCACTTTCCGATCCCTTTTGGACAGGTTTGGAGTCTCGTCCTGGAGTAGCAGAACTTGTTTCTTTAGGCCCACCCTGATCAGTGTAGCTACTCCCAGTGCCCTGTTCTCGGCCTTCTTTTTTGTAGCCTTGAGATGATGGTATGTTACTATCTACAGAGGAAGCTGGTGACACTTTATGTGGATTCACTTTATTCAACCAATTATCAAGTTGCCATTTGTTTGTTGGTGGTGGTTCGGGCTGAAAAACAGAAAAACGTATGGTTTTCTCAGCATTGAAGCTTTCTTCTTCACAAAGTCAAGGGAGAGGGGAAAAAAATGTAAAGCCCAAGTTAACGAAAGCATGTGCTTTTCAAAGTTCTAACTAAGACCAAAGCATGGGGTGAAATATTGATCATTAGCTCTAATAACTCAAATAAACTTAAAATATTGCATGTGGCCTTTATCAAATATTTCTGTAAGGAGTCTAACTCGAAAGGAATTATGAAAAATGACTATATACTAATGATTGTTCTAATAAAACATTGTGGTATCTTTTTTTTTTTTGAAAAAATATTATGAGCCCAGTGCCAGTGGTTCACGCCTGTAATCCTAGCTACTCAGGAGGCTGAGCTCTGAGGATCACGGGTCAAAGCCAGCTTGAGCAGGAAAGTCTGTGAGACTCTCATTTCCAATAAACCACTCAAAAAACCAGAAGTGGTGCTGTGGCTCAAGTGGCAGAGCACTTGCCTTGAGCTGAAGAGCTCAGGGACAGCACCTAGACCTAGAGTTCAAGTCCTATGACTGATTTAAAAAAGAAATTATATATTGTATTTAATTGCAAGAAGTGAACAATGTAGGTAACAAGAAAGTTTTGTAATTTTATTTTATTTAGGTATAATTATGTCATATAAGGTCATTTTATTCAGAATAACTACAGAATGTGAATTCTGATATTGAGACATAAAGAATAATCTAAAGGTCAACATAAAGGCCTGTAGACAATCTGAACTCAAAACAGTTACTAACCTAGGGAAAAAAATGTATGCCCAAATAATAAGGAAATCAAAATACTTAAGTTTTCTCTAAAACATATATGTAGTTCAATGGCCTTTGTCAGACTATGAAATCTTTTCCCTTTTCCTTTTACATTTGAATCCTATCTTAAATGGACATTGCCCATGGCCTGATGAGAACATCCCATAAGCTCCCTTCTCACCTCCGGAGACGCACTCTGGGATGGCTCATTTGCCTCACTGTCACTGGAACTACTTTCACTCTCTGAGTCAGATCCAGAGCTGCTTTCAGATCCACTGTGGCTGCTAGAATCCTCCCTGGAGTTATCTGCTCCTTCACTATTATGATGGGAAGGTTCAGAGTTACTGAAGGAGACAAAACATAAAATGACCAAAAGATTCTTATACAGTGGCAACAGGGAAACATTCAAATCTGAAAAGTAACTTTATGTACAATCTTTACATAAGCTGTTACAATTCTACAATATAGACTTCACTATAAAATAAAATAATTTTCCTTAAAAAGTTTCTTATGGGGGCTGGGAAGGTAGCTCAGCGGTAGAGTGCTTGCCTTGCATGCATGAGGCCCTGGGTTTGATTCCTCAGCACCACATAAGCAGAAAAAGCTGGAAGTGGCGCTGTGGCTCAAATGGTAGAGTGCTAGCCTTGAGCTGAAGAGCTGAGGGACAGCGCCCAGGCCCTGAGTTCAGGCCCCATGACCAGCAAACAACAACAACAAAAAAAGTTTCTTATGTTAGTTGGCAAGGTGGCTTGTTTTGGCAATCATTAGGAACTCAGGAAGTAGAAATCAAAATTGAGTTTTGATACCAGCTCAGTTAAAGTAGTTATGAGATCCCATTTCAACCAATAGAACTGAGTACACAACTGTGATCTTGGTTACATAGGAAATATAAATAAGAGAACCACAGCTTTGGCTGGCCTGGACAAAAAGTGAGATCTACCTTAAAAACAGTCCAAGAAGGGCTGGGAAGGTGGCTCAGTGGTAGAGCGCTTGCCTTGCAGGCATGAGGCCCTGGGTTCCATTCCTCAGCACCACACAAGCAAAAAGAAAAAAGCTGGAAGTGGCGCTGTGGCTCAAGTGGTAGAGCACTAGCCTTGAGCTGAAGAGCTGAGGGACAGCGCCCAGGCCCAGAGTTCAGGCCCCACGATTGGACCCAAAAAAACCCAAAACCGGTCCAAGAACAGAAGACTGAAGGTATGGATGAAGTGCTAAGATGCTTGTCTAGCAAGTGGGCAGCCCCAACTGCCTCTGATGTGATATCTTGGTATTATTTTGAAAATAGTCTGAGGTGTAATTTAAATACCATAGAAGTAATCCAGGTTAAGTGGACAGTTTAATGACTTTTGGTTAATTTACAGAAAGTACAATTATCATCACATCTGATCATACTTTTTTATTTTGGGGGGGCTTGAACTCAGGGCCTGGTTGCTAACCCTGAGCTTTTTCGCTCAAAGCTAGTACTCTACCACTTTGAGCCATAGCACCACTTCCAGTTTTCTGGTGGCTAACTGGACATGAGTCATCCTGCCTAGGTTGGCTTCAAACCATGATCCTCAGATTTCAGCCTCCTGAGTAGCTAAGATTATAAGCATAAGCCATCGGTGCCCAGGCATACTTGTTTTACATATCACTACAATGTTAATTTGATTGACATTAGTACTTCAAATAAAACAAAATAAAAGGAAACTTACCTTCCTGGTGTACTCCTTGGCACTGTCTTGTCACAATCCTACAATTAAAATGTAAGAAGGAAATTTGTGAAAGAATACTTAATATAAATATAGTATCTGAATTCTTAAAAAATTGGCTTCTCTTACATGGATTAATGTAAACTTAATATAGTGAATAAAATAGTATACTATTTGTAGAGGATAAGTTTTTTTTTAAGTTTGTTAATATTTTTTCTTGTCAATAACCTGCTTCATGAGTACATTCTGATCCACAGTAAATGTTAAGGAAAAGTCAATTTTTAAAAATAATGGGAATTAAAAGAGCAGAACTAGGTACCATTGGCCCATGCCTATAATCCCAGCTATTCCAGAGGTTGAGATATGAGGAGAGAGGTTCAGAGGCAGCCTGAGCAGACTCTTATGTGCCATTAGCCAATAAAAAGCCTAAAGTGGAGGTGTGGCTCAATCACTAGCTGTGAATAAAAAAGTCAAGTGAGAGTTCCAAGCCTGGAGTTCAAGCCCCAGTACCAGCACACACACAAAAGAGCAGAAAATTACAACACTCTAACATCAAAAAGCTTATAAAGTTTAGGAAATTATTTTATACAAATGAACCATATATCTATTATTCAATTTTTATAAAACATGATAAAAATAAATATGTATGACATTGGTAGAGCTCTATAGCACACACACCTGTTCCCCATCACTGTCTTCACTGCTGCTTAGTTTTAAGTCATCTTTTAACATACTAGAGGAAAAAAAGCAAAGAAGAATATTATTATTTTGGGAACAGTTTATCATGGCATGACAAAGTATTAAATATCAATAATTCTATCAATGCCCAGGCATTGATGGCTCATGTTTGTAATACTGGTGACTCAGGAGGCTGAGATCTGAGGATTGCGGGGTTCAAAGCCAGCCCAGGCAGTATAAGTCTGTGAGACTCCCAAAAATTCAGCAAGTGAAGCTGTTATTCAAGTGATAGAGTACCAACCTCCAACCTAGAGCGGAAAAAACTAAGGAAAAGTGCTCAGGCTCTGAGTTTAAGCCCCAGTACACCCAACCCACACCCATACCCACACACATCTTACCAATAATTCTAGAAATAATCACTGTTTTGGCAAATGCCAACCTGTGTGTGTGCACACAAATACATATACATATATACATGCATACATGCATACATACATACATACATACACACACACACATAAAAGCAGTGTTACTCTATCTGGTTATGAAATAAAAAAACTCACAAGAATTTAACCATGTTGTCATGGTTAAGTGGTAGATCTGTCTAGCAATTGTAAGGCCCTGAGTTCAATCTGAAGTTCCACTACACACACACACACACACACACACACACACACACACACACAAATACACACAATTTAAAGCTCTAATTCTAAAGAATTTGGAAGCTCTAAGCTTAATTATGCCTCCAATGTTCCATGAAGATTGATACAATTGTTAAATAGGTAATTGTCAGTACCTTAAGGACACAATTTCCTAAGCCAAAGTCCTACTTTTATTTAATTTTTATTATTATTATAAAGATGATGTATGAAGGGGTTACAGATACATAAGTCAGGTAAAGAGTACATTTCTTTTTGGACCATGTCACTTGTTTCCTCATTCTTCCCCAGTTTTTCCCTCCCTTCCCCACCCAGAACCTGTGTAGTTCATTTTCAACATAGTGTCTAGTGAATACAACTGCTCCTTTTGTTTACCCTTTATCCTTGCCCTCCCAAAGTCAGAGAAACAAACAAGACAAAAAGAAAACAAAAACAGTAACAAAGAAAAATTTTTTGTTTCCATTTCCTGTATTTCATTTCAATAAATATTATTTTATCTGATCAGATGCACATAGGCATTGTGTCCTTGTGTTCTTCTCCTAAGAGCCAACGTTCTACTTTATAAATGCCTCGTTACGAAAGACGAGTACCTTCTGTAGAAATAACAGTTTGAGGTGAGAAATTAGCAGAAATCAACTGGGACTTGAATTCTGAGCCGGGGTGCTGTACCTCAGCTTTTTTGCTCAAGGCTAGAGATGTACTATTTTGAGCCACAGTCCCACTTCTGGCTTTTTGTTTGTTTGGTAGTAGAGATCAGAGTATCACAGACTTTCCTGGCCAGGCTGGCTTGAAATGGCGATCCTCAGATCTCAGCCTCCGGTGTAGCTAGGACTGTACAAGTATAAGCCATTGGTTCCTGGCTTTTTAAATCAATTTATTTATTTATTTATTGGGTCCAGTCTCTGGGCCTGGGCGCTGTCCCTCAGCTCTTCAGCTCAAGGCTAGCGCTCTACCACTTGAGCCACAGAGCCACTTCCAGCTTTTTTTTTCCTGCTTATGTGGTGCTGAGGAATGGAACCCAGGGCCTCATGAATGCAAGGCAAGCACTCTACCACTGAGCCACCTTCCCAGCCCCTTTAAATCAATTTTAAAAAAGGAAGAGTTTCTATAAGCTAGCAGCTTCTGGAATCTGTTTCTGAAGATAAAAATTAAATTTTATATTTTCTTTGAAGTCAGAAAAATCAAACCATTAAACTTTAAAAATCACAGTAACAAACTACAAAACACTCTTTTCTAAGAAGAGAAAAAATTAACACAAAGTTTAGGAGAGAAATGCAACTAGAAAAATATTTAATTTCTCATTATTAGTAGTTCCATTACCTTTCCTTTTAAAATTTCATCAGTCTTCAATTAGTAGGAAGGAAATCTTCTTTTACTCCAATAACTATTTGTATTTTCCCTCAAAGTTTAACCTGCATTTCTATATCTGACCCCAAATTCCAAGAAATATACAAAAGATCACCTGGAAATAAAGTAACCAGATGGATATATTATTATAAAAGGTGTTTTAAACTGGCTCAATTCAATGGGATGGAAATAAAAAAGAGTTTTCCTTTGGACCAGGGCTTAGTGCATCTGTAGGACTGATTTCCTGTAAGGAAATGAACCAACTTGTGAGTTCTCCAAGCCCTTATGATTTAATAATGGCAACTCAATGAAACTGTTTACATATGTGAATATGTCAAAGCTTTTACCAGACTGCTCTAGGTCCTCAATGCTTTTGTTCCCTCAGCAACCAAAGCAATAGGCACATATATGGTAGGTAGCATTAGTTCTTTGCATGGAAATATAACGGAAACATAGTTTGAATTTTTCAGTAGTATATGGGGAAGTATGTGTATTTATATATTTTCATTCTCAGTCCTTCTCTTTGTTCAACTAAAGAAGATACCAGTCTAGTCAGTACCGTTTGAGGCTATAGCAAAGAAAGCTGGAATTGTGGCCACTTTCTTTAGACCTTTGATATCTCCTCAGTAAGTTAATTTGTTTTTTTGTTTTTTGTGTTTTTTTGTTGGTCGTGGGGCTTGAACTTTAGGCTTGGGCGCTGTCCTTGTGCTCTTCAGCTCAAGGAGAGCGCAATACCGCTTGAGTCACAGCATCACTTCCAGTTTTCTAGCGGTTTATTGGAGATAAGAGTCTCACGAACTTTCCTGCCCAGGCTGGCTTTGAACCGCGATCCTCCTGAGTAGCTAGGATTACAGGCGTGAGCCACCAGCACCCAGCTTCAGTAAGTTAATTTGTGATCTCTGGAATTCAAGTGGTGACCCCATGCTGGAATTTATTATCATCTAAAGACCCTATATACTGTGATGCATATTTCTGCATCTCCTAGAAAATAAAAATAAGAGCCAATACAAACTCTGTTGCTTAAATATACACTATTTCCTAGTTACATGGAAGGCCTATTAGAAAGAATATTGTCCTAAAAAATTACTTTTTTTCACAGAAATGGACAAAAGGTGAAAAAAGGAAACAGTGGTATTCACTAGACACTGTGTTGAAAATAAACTATACAACTTATTGGTGGGAATGAGAGGTGAAAACTGGGAGAGAGCAAGGAAAAGGGTGACAATGTCCAAAAAGAAATGTACTCTTTACCTAACTTATATAACTGTAACTCTTCTGTACATCACCTTCATTTTATTTTTATTTTTTCATTTTCTTGTAGGTCTTGTAGGTCATGGGCCTTAAACTCTGGGCCTGGGCGCTGTCCCTCAGCATTTCAGCTCAAGGTGAGTGCTCTACCACTTGAGCCACAGCACAACTTCCAGTTTTCTGAGTGGTTTACTGGAGATAAGTCTCACATCCTTTCCTGCCGGGCTGGCTTTGAACCGCAATCCTCAGATCTCAGCCTCCTGAGTAGCTAAGATTATAAGTGTGAGCCACTGGTGCCCAGCTGTACATTACCTTTAATATATGTTTTTTTTTTTTTTTTTTTTTTTGCCAGTCCTGGGGCTTGAACTCAGGGCCTGGGCACTGTCCCTGACCTTGTTTTTTCTCAAGGCTAGCACTCTACCACTTGAGCCACAGTACCACTTCTGGTTTTTTTTCTGGGTATGTGATACTGAGGAATCAAACCCAGGGCTTCATGCATGTGAGGCAAGCACTCTACCACTAAGCCACATTCCCAGACCTATAATAACTTTTTTTTTTTGCCAGTCCTGGGACTTGAATCCAGGGCCTAGCACTGTCCCTGAGCTTCTTTTCTCAAGGCTAGCACTCTACCAACTTAAGCTACAGTGTCACTTCTGGCTTTTTCTGTTTATGTGGTACTGAGAAATCAAACCCAGGGCTTCAAGCATTGTAGGCAAGCACTCTACCACTAAGACACATTACCAGTCCAATAACAAATTTTTTTTTTTTCCTGGGGTCAGTCATGGTTTGAACTCTGGGCCTGAGTGCTGTCCCTCAGCTCTTCAGCTCAAGGCTAGCTCTTTACACTTGAGAGCTACAGCACCACTTCTGGTTTTCTATTGGTTTATTGGAGACAAGAGTCTCATGGAGGAGCTGGAAGGTGGCTCAGTGGTTGAGTGCTTGCCTGGCATGCATGAGGCCCTGGGTTCGATTATGTGGTTCAGCACCACATAAGCAGAAAAAGCCGGAAGTGGCGCTGTGGCTGAGCTGAAGAGCTGAGAGACAGCATCCACAACCGACCCAAAAAAAAAAGTCTCATGGACTTTCTTGCCTGGGCTGGCTTTGAACCGCAATCCTCAGATCTCAGCCTCCTGAGTAACTAGGATTACAGGCATGAGCCACCAGAGCCTAGCTTCCAATAACAATTTTTTTTTTTTTTTGGTTGGTTGTGGGGCCTGAACTCTGGGCCTGGCCTTGTCCCTCAGCTCTTCAGCTCAAGGCTAGCACTCTACCACTTAAGCTACAACACTTCTGGCTTTTTCTGCTTATGTGATAGTGAGGAATACAGGCAAGGCAATCACTCTACCACTGAGCCACATTCCCAGCCCCCAATAACAATTTTTTAAAAAGGAAAAAAACAAACTTTTTTTCCCCCCAAGAACTGGGATTTGAACCCAATGCTGTAGGCCTGACAGGCAGATGCTCTAACACTTGATTCATGGCCCCCACATCTTTGTACTTTAGTTATTTTCAAAAGGATCTTGGGCTGGGAAGGTGGCTCAGCGGTAGAGTGCTTGCCTTGCATGCATGAGGCCCTGGGTTCGATTCCTCAGCACCACATATGCAGAAAAAGCTGGAAATGGCGCTGTGGCTCAAGTGATAGAGCGCTTGCCTTGAGCTGAAGAGCTGAGGGACAGCATCCAGGCCCAGAGTTCAGCCCCCACGACTGACCAACAACAACAACAACATAAAAGGATCTTGTGTCTTTGTCTAGAGTTAGGGTCAGACTTCAATTGCCCTACCTACCTGTACTCCTGCAGCTGTCAAACCTAGTCTATGATTTCATGATTAAATATGATGAACATACAAACATCCAAGGTGGGCTCCAATGGCTCATGCATGTACTGCTAGCTATTCAGGAGGCTGGGATGTGAAGATCACATAGTTCAAAGCCAGCCCGGGCCAGAAAGTTCATGAGTCTTATCTCCAATTAATCACAGAAAAAGCCAGAAGTGGTGCTGTGGAGCACATGGTAAAGCACTAACTTGCCTTTGTCAAAGAGGCTCAGGGACAGCGCCCAGATCCAGAGTTCAAGCCCCAGGATTGGCAAAAAATAAAATAAAATAATAATAATAAAAGAAAATACACACATCATTTTCTACCTCTGATAGGTGAGGAAAAACTCTGAGCTAAGATCAGGGGTAGGCAAACTGGCTCACAAGCAAAATTTAGCTTAATACTGCTTTGTAATAAAGTTTTACAGGACTCAGGATGTAGTTCAATAGTAGTGATTATCTAGCATTTATGAGGTCCTGGATTTGATTCCAGCACACTACCAAAAGGGGAAAAAAATCCTATATATAGTCCATGGTCATTTTTTTTCTTTTCTTTTTAGATAAACAAAGTAAATTATTTGAAATTGAACGAGAAGCCATAAAAGAGTAGAGAGACTCTACATCTAGAGAGAGGCCTAAACAGAAGTCCATATGGCCATTTTTATACAATATTCAGGACAGAAACAAGTGACCCTGAAAACCTAAACCTGGCTCTTTACACAGAAGTTTGCCTACCTCTGACTTAAAAGGGTAGTATTTTAACTTGAAAATAGCTCAGCGGTAAAGTATGTGCCTAGCATGCACAAAATCCTGGGTTCAATTTCTAGTCTACATTCAAAAATAAACAAATGGGTCTGAAGATGTAGTTCAGTGGTAAAGCACTTGCCTAGCATGTGCAAGGGCCTAACCTTGCTCTCCAGAAGCATACAAATAAGTGAATATGTCAATAAACAAAAAAATCAATTGTTTCTAAATATTATTTAACATATTCAGATATTACAGGTAACCAGCCCAAAAGACAAACTCATTAAATAAGAAACTTACGATTTTGATTGGTGACCATTTGAAGTTTTAGTAGAAGGGTTGTATCTTTCTAGAACAAAAACAATGTAGAAATGAGAAACTGAATTTAACTGTTTAGATTGCAAAATGTCTTACCACAAAGAAATATAAGTCACAACAGATAATTCTTCAATGCTCAAAATGGCAACACATTCAAGTCCAATAATATGGCATGTGATAGAAACAAGCATGTTCACAGGCTATAAACTTATACAATCTTTTTAGAGAGCAATGTAACATTGTCAATACTGTATCTATATTGCTACTGACATACCTTCCATACATCTGGTGTATCTGAAGGAATATTTACACATAAACACACACGAATGCTTACAACAGAATGGTTTCAATAGCAAAAACAAAGACTAGTTAAATAAAGTATGATACTTTTATATAAAAACAAGGTACTTTATACTGAAATCTAGCTTTAAAGGAAGTTCAGTGAAAGCCACAAGGTATAAAGACTAGATGTAGCTTATGATACCATTGCTATAGTTAGCTTTGGGGAGAGACAGTAGGAATGTGATAAAAAAAAATATTCTTAAAAGAAGAGAGAAAATGTAAATATTCTTATCTATAGCTAGCTATTCTCTGCATATCAACAACAGCTAGGTTCCTATAATCCAGACAACTTTGAAAGCAAGAGAGGATCATAAATTTGAGGCCAGTATGGGCAAAGGTAGCAAAACCCTGTCTTAAAACTTTTTTTTTCTTAAGGACCAGGACTCAGTGTAAGGGGTACAACAACTGCCTAGCACGAATGCCCAAGGTCCTGGTTCAATTTGCAGCATGCCCTAAAATTCACCCCCTCCCCCCACCAAAAAAAATCAACAACAAAAAAAACCCAGTGTCTGTTTCCTTTTTTTCTATAACAATAGCTGAAAAGATAGTACTGAAATAGATATTCAGATAAAGCTTAACATTAAAAGTTATTCATCTAGAGCCAGGGAACTGAAATAGATATTCAGATAAAGCTTAACATTAAAAGTTATTCTTCTGGAGCTGGGTGCTGGTGGCTCAGGCCTGTAATCCTAGCCAGCCCAGGCAGGAAAAATCCGTGAGATTCTTATCTCCAATAAGCCACTTAGAAAACCAGACGTGGCACTGTGGCTCAGTGGCAGAGCACCAGCCTTGAGCTAAAGAGCTGAGGGACAGTGCCCAGGCCTAGAGTTCAAGCTCCATGACCTACCAAAAAAAAAGTTATTATTCTAGTTTTTATCTCTTTGCATTAAGATAATTAAAGGTAACTAGCAAAAGGTTTAAAAAAAAAAAACAACTTCCACATTTCATTTCCCAACATACGTTAAAACTGGTTTGTCTACCTTACTTAAGAGGTTATTTGCGAAATAATTGGAGTTATTTGGCAAAGTTAAGACACTGCAGTGTTTCCTGACCTTGTTAATCTTACAGATCTTTTTGGGACCACATATGAATCCCCAAAAGATATCTTCTACTCAAGTTCTTCAGAGAGATCATATGTAGAAGACAACAGACCAGAAGATGCAGAAAAAAAAGGGGGAGGAGGCACTGATATAGGATGAGAAGAGCTATGGCCAGCCAGCGAAATGACTCGATTGTTGTCTAGAGTGCTGCTACCATAGAACCAAGTATCTACATGAAGTAAAAAGGACAGCGGCTCTTGAGCTTAAGAGGTGTCCATTAACCTGAATTAGTGAACTACCAAATATTAGTTCAAATTATCAAAAGTTTATTTTGATTTCTAATAACCTACATAACACTTTTTGATTCTTTAAGTAAACTAGGATTCAGCTCAACCCAGTATCACTTAGCAGGCCATAAAATTAGAGTAAGATACACAAAAAAAATTATTTAAAGCAATAGAAGGCAAGGCCATGTGAATCAAATGGTCCATAAAGAGATCAACTTTGAAAAAACAAGAGGAAAACAAATACTCACTTTGTTCTCCAGGGCCAAAATTGGACTGCTGAGACTCCTAAGAAAAAAGAACATAAAGTTACACAAGTAAAATTAAGAGAGAAGTGTTCATTTAGTGGCAAGTGGTCTAAATTGTACACAAATTATTGAAGTATATAAAAAGAAACTATTAAGCCACCAGATAGTCTTGCCATTATTTATTTCTTTTCAACAACATTTATGGTATTGGTCAATACCTAATTTAGAGGTCTAAAGAATAAATTATTTCAGGTTAAGATCCTTGGTTTTAAAAATATGCTTCAGTTGAGCACCAGTGGTTCATGTCTGTAATTCAAGCTACTCAGAAGGCTGAGATCTGAGAATTGCAGTTTGAAGCCAGCCTGGGTAGGAAAGTGGGATTCCTATTTCCAATTAACCAGCAAAAAGCTAGAAGTGGAGCTGTGGCTCAAGTGGTAGAGTGCTATCTTTGAGCAAAAAATCGCAGGGACAGCACCCAGGCCCTGAGTTCAAGCCCCAGTAATGACACAAATAAATATATATGCTTAGTGGGGTGCCAATGGTTCACACCTGTAATCCTTATTACTCAGGAGGCTGAGATCTGAGGATGGCGGCTCAAAGCCAGCCTAGGCAAGGAAAGTCTGTGAGACTCCAATTAACCATCAAGAAAACCGGAAGTGCTGCTGTGGTTCAAGTGGTAGAGCTGCTAGCCTTGAGCTGAAGAGCTGAGGGACAGTGCATAGGCTGAGTTCATGTCCCACAACCAACAAAAAAGAAAGAAATATATATGTTTGGGTTCTGAGTTCAAGCCCTGGCACCAGTATAATAAAAAAAATCCAGGGGCTGGGAAGGCGGCTCAGTGGTAGAGTGCTTGCCTTGCATGCATGAGGCCCTGGGTTCAATTCCTCAGCACCACATAAGCAGAAAAAGCTGGAAGCAGTGCTGTGGCTCAAGTGGTAGAGCACTAGCCTTGAGCTGAAGAGCTGAGGGACAGCTCCCAGGCCCAGTGTTCAGGCCCCACAACCAACAAAAATAAATAAACAAATTTAAAAATCAAAAAATTTGGGGCTAGGGGCTGGGAAGGTAGCTCAGCGGTAGAGTGCATGCCTTGCAAGCATGAGGCCCTGGGTTCTATTCCTCAGCACCACATAAACAGAAAAAAAAAAAAAATTTTGGGGCTAGTTGAGGACCAGTGGCTCATGTCTATAATCCAAGTTACTTGAGAGGACAAGAATGGAGGTTCACAGCCAGCTCAAGCAAAAAAGTTACTGAGCCAGGCATTGGTGGCTCATGTCTATAATCCTAGCTACTCAGGAGACTGAGATGTGAGGATTATGGTTCAAAGCCAGGCCAGGTAGGAAAGTGAATGAGACTCTAATCTCAAATAACCTACTCAGAAAAAGCTGCTCAGGGACAGGATCCCCAGGACTGGTCAAAAAAAAAAAAGATTGAGATTCTTTCTCAACCGAAGGCTGGGTACAGTGGCATAAAACATCCTAAGGTACACAGAAGACTGAGATTGGCCTGTGTTTCCAGGTCAGTGCAGACAGTCTACTGAGAGACTCCATCTCCACAGAAGGGATGCTGGAAAAGGTAGCAAGCACCAGATGCTAACAACAATGGGAAACCTAAAAGTATGTGAATTGCAGCACAAATAGTGGACTGACTGACTGGACTCATTTCCTAGTGAGACCTTGTCCCACTGAAAAATAGGGCCAGAAGTTTGGCTAAATGGTACTTTACCAATCTAGCAAGTGTGAGGCTCTTCAAACATCTAGTACTATTCAAAAGCTAGGGAGGAAAAAAGAGAGGGAGGGAGTAAGGGAGATATTTGAGCTGCAATCCTAAACTAAGAGGGTAATGCTGAAAGTATCACAATATATGATCTCAACTTCAAATGCCAATCCATAGTTAACAAAAACAGCAAGATAGTGGTACAAAACCAGACATATATACCAATGGAGTAGAAGACCCAGAAATAGATCCACCCTATTAGAGCCATCAGATTTTTCAATAGGAGTAAGAAAAAAACAGCCTTTTGAACAAATGTTGTAAGCAAAAAAGGATATCCACATGTAGAAGACTGAAAGTAGAACCCTGACAAAAACCAAATTCAAATGTATCAAAGACCTTAATGTAAGACCCGGAACTCTGAAAACAGCTATGAGAAAACAATGGAAGGTGTAGGCATAGGCTACAACTTCCTGAATAGAATTCTAATTGCTCAAGAGATAAGAGGAAGAACTGATAAATGGGATTGCATCAAATTAAAAAGATTCCTCATGTTCAAATGAAACAATTACTGGAATAAAGAGTTGGCATAGAGAATAAGAGAAACTTTGCCAGCTATTCCCTCTATTTAGTAAAGGATTAATATACAGAATATATAAAGAGTTCAAAAATCAAACTTTAATTTAAAAAACCCAATTAATAAATGGACAAATGAATTAAACAGTTCTGAAAAGAACAAATGGCTAATAAATATGTGAAAAAAAGTTTAACAACTTTAGTCATAAAGGAAATTTTTAAAAATTGAAGCAAAAGATAATGTAATCCTAGCTATTCAGGAAGCTGATAATAGAGGACTGCAGTTCAAGCCCAGCCCAGGAAAGAAAGTCCATGAGACTCTTATCTCCAATTGATCACCACTGGAGTTGTTGCTCAAGTGGTAGAGCACTAGCCTGGAGCTGAATTGCTGAGGGACAGCACCCAGGCCCAGAGCTTAGGCCCCACAACCACAAAAAAAAAAATAAATAGTGACACCTGCCTATAATCTCAGCACTTGGAAAACTAAGGCAGGAGGAATGAGAGTTCAAGGTCAGTCTCAGGGAATACATGGCAACACCCTACCTCAAACCACAGAAACCACAAAACATAAAAAATTCACTAAAACCACAGAGAAAGAAAAGTAAGAACATATGTTTATGACTCTGGGAAGACATTAAAAAGCAAACATTAAAAAGTAAAGCCAACTCTGGTGCTGGTGGCTCACGCCTGTAATCCTAGCTACTCAGGAGCCTGAGATCTGAGGATCATGGTTTAAAGCCGGCCCAGGAAGGTAGATCAGTGAAACTCTTATCTCCATGAACCACCAGAAAACCAGGATTGGCGCTGTGATTCAAATGGTAGAGTGCTCACTTTGAGCTGAAGAGCTCAGGGACAGTGACCAAGCCCAGAGTTCAAGCCCCACCACACACACACACACACACACACACACACACACACACACACACATGCCCAGAGTTCAAGCCCCAACACACACACACACACACACACACACACCCCAAGCCCAGAGTTCAAGCCCCACCACACACACACACACACACACACACACACACACCCCAAGCCCAGAGTTCAAGCCCCACCACACACACACACACACACACACACACACACACACACACACACACCCCAAGCCCAGAGTTCAAGCCCCACCACACACACACACACACACACACACACACACACACACACAAAGGTAAAATATTTAAACCATGAAACTAAAACACAAATCTAATTGGGAGATATGTTTAAAATATTGCTTATTAAAATAGGTAATTCAGCTGGGCGCTGGTGGCTCATGACTGTAATCCTAGCTACTAAGGAAGCTGAGACTGAGGATCATGGTTCAAAAGCCAGCCCAGGCAGGAAAGTTTGTGAAACTCTTATCTCCAACAAACCACCTGAAAACCGGAAGTGGCGCTATAGCTCAAGTGGTAGAGCACTAGCCTTGAGCTGAAAAGCTGAGGGACAGTGCTCAGGCCCAGAGTTCAAGCCTCATGACTGACAAAAATAAAATAAGGAATTCAACCAAAACAAAAGCAATAAAAAAATGAAAAAGACAACCCCTCCTGAAACTCAATAGATTAAAGATACCACCTATAGAATAGCAAGAATAAGTCAGGTACTGGTGGCTCATGCTTTTAATCCCAGCTACTCAGTAGGCTAAGATCTGAGGATCAGAAATGCAGTTCAAGGACAGCCTAGACATGAATCTTAATCTTCAATTAACCACCAAAAAACCAGCAGTTGTGCTGTGGCTCTAAGTGGTAGAGTGCTAGCCTTTAGCAAAAGAGCTCAAGGAAGCTGGGTGCCAGTGGCTCATGGCTGTGATCCTAGTTAGTGAGGAGGCTGAGAATCTGAGGATCACAGTTCCAAGCCAGCCCGGGCAGGAAAGTCCATGAGACTCTAATCTCCAATAAACCACCAGAAAACCAGAAGTGGCACTGTGGCTCAAGTGGTAGAGTGCTTGCCTTGAACTGAGGGACAGCACCCAGGTCCAGGGTTCAAGCCCCATGACTGATCAAAAAAAAAAAGCTCAGGGACAGTACCAAGGGCCTGAGTTCAAGTCCTATGACCAATACCCCTTTCCCTCCAAAAAAAGAATAGCAAGAATAGGGGAATTCATCCACAAAGAAATCAAAAGCATGAGCTTTTAAGATGAGGAGCTTCACTAGCAATCTAGCAAATAAAATGCAATTTCTCACTAAAAAGATTGGTATTTAATAGTACCATATACTGGTATGCAGTACCATATACTGGTATGCATGTAAGGAATAATAGGTATTAAAAGAGTAAAGGCTGTTACAAATCTGTGACAACAGAGAAATCAGAGTGTATAATGATACATACTCCTTAATCCCCAAAATTCTGTCTTATTTTACATCTTAAATAATATATAAGAAGACACAAAAAAGTTACTAAAGAAATGTTCACAGAAATGAAAATATATTAACAAGTTAAATACCAATGAGAAATGAGCAAATAAACTGGGATATATTTATACTTTGAATAAAGTTAAAATCTTATATGTAATAATATGGAAAGTTTCCTAAGGCTATTGCTCACAATGATGTATAACAATATATCTGAATAGAAGAAAATAAGGAAATGCTTGTATGTAATGATTTCACACACATAATTACATATAAATGTATCTAAATTCATATAAAAGACTTGCAAAAGTACACATGAAAGCAGCTTTGGTGAGATGGAAGAGAACAAGAATGAGGGAAAGGCTATTACTAGGAGCCATGGTCAAACTCTCACAAGGAGAATTCATTTGTGTATTCTGTGTCTGAGTATAAATTTAATCTGCAAATCTTGGGATTGGGTGGGAACTGTTGTATTACTCATGGAACTTCTTTCTACAGTATAGTTTTTAAGATCTACATAAAGGGGTTCATTAAAAATAATGGTTTGAGAAGCCCTAACCATCTCTGGCCTAGAAAACTGTAATAGTTTGGAATAAATATCAATGTCACTCCCCCTATATTGCCTGCCAAGCTTTCTTAAATAAAATACCTCAGGCCACGATGCCCTCACTTCCATTACCCTGTTTGAATTTCTTCATAGCAATGTTCACTTTCTGAACTTAATTATTGTGTATTTTCCATCAGACTGGGAATGCAAGCCAATTTTGAACTTACATGATTTTAGGTGAGCCATTTAGTGTTTTCTTATATTATTAAAGATAGAGTTTATTTACTTACCTTAGTTGGAAAAGGAAATTTGGAAGGCTCTGTTTTGCATGGTGTATGAATAGCCGTTAGTGGGGGAGGCCATGAATGCGTCATCTCCTGAAATGTAATTATTACAGTTTGTTTTCAACCAGGTCAAGGATTAAAAACTGTATCGCTAAAAACCAGATTTGTACTTATAAATGCTGGTTTTGTGATTGCTCTTTAAAATTATACATATTTAAGTCAATAAATACTGATGAAGCACAACTGTGTGCAAGGCACTATGGGGCTGTTAATAGGAGGGTAAATAATAAATGCTTATTTCCTGCAAGGAATTTGCAGTTAGGATCAACTCTGAAGAGTGATAGAAATGGGCCTGTATCAAATACAAGGCACATAATAAAATACTACTAAAGAGAGTTTGTTGTGGGAATCAATGGAAGCATGGGGCTAACAGCTAACATTTACTTTACCTTTAATTGACCCACAGTGTGCTGTTTTGCTTGTCTGTTACTCACTTCTTACAATGCTATTATGATACAGATAAGTGTGGCTCTATGAAGAAATAAATCAATCCAAGTATAAAGATTACTTACTTAACGCTATATATTTACTAAGTCATGGACACACAGAATTTTATAGTAAGAAATCTGACGACATAACCCATGAGCTGAGAGGAAAATATGGTCACATGGGAAAACCAGAAAAGGGATTCCAGAAGCACATAAGAAGGAAAGCAGACAAGCAAAACCCTAAGTATGATTTCATTCAATGTCTTCTAATTATGCTAAATATGTCCAAGTGAGGTTTGAATAAGATTAAAAAAGTATATATTAGCAGGGGAGAGAATGATGACAGACTTATAATAAGGAGGGAATGTTTTGTTAAAGGTGGTAGCTTATCTAGGAATTTATCCTATAGCTACAACCACACAATTAGGACACACATTTCAGGCTCACATTTGAAAAATGGGGACGGGGGAGGAGGTAGGGGGTGCGGGGAGAACAGGTATCCAACAGTACAGTGTTAATTAGCAGACATCCATACAATGAAACACCAGACATTAAAATGAAAATTTGAACTGATATGAAATGGTATCTACAGTATACTGTTAAGTAACTAACATAAATAATAATCTATGTCCTAGTAAATGTATATAGTCTCTGGGGGGACTGACTATCTTTGGGCAACAGAATGAGAAAAGAGGGCAGAAACAGGACACTTGATATAGTCTCTACTAGAATCTCTTAAAATAGTCACTCACATATTCTTTATCCAATGCTCTTACTATTTCTTACATCCTGCTCTAGAAAGTCAGCTCAAAGCATGCAACTATCATCATTACCATCATTGTATCCCCAGTGCTTGACATGTAACAGGGTGCTGAATTAGCATGCTTTTAATTGGTAAATTACAAATTCCCATAAACATGTACCAGTTTCAAATTAAAATTTTCATCATGGGATGTCTAGAACTACAAATTGTTTAAAGGGAAAAAAAATCTGAAGAAAAACATGAAGAAGCAGCCAGGTGTTGGTGGGGGCTCATGCCTGAAGGCCTAGCTGATACCCGAGGATCACAGTTTGAAGCCAGTCCTGGCAACATAGTTACAAGACACTTATCTCCAATTCACCACCAAAAAACCCAACGTGGTGCTTGGCTTAAAGTGGTAGAGCACTAGGCTTGAGCAAAAGAACTCAGGGATAGCACCCAATTTCAGAGTTCAAGTGGCATAAATGACCAAAAAAAAAAAAAAGATGAAGAGAAATAGACTTGTAGTTCCTGGCACACCACAGATAGGGAAGGAAAAAGGAAACAGAAACCAATATCCCTTGGGTTTTGGTATTAACATTTTACATCGGAAATATTAGAATACTCTCAGTTGATAATTTATCACCAAATGACTCTGCACCTAATACAGGCCTTGTGTCAAGCCCTGCATATATAAAATAGGGAAAAATTATAAGATCAAAGACATAATTAAATACAAGAATATCTTCTAGGTACTAACATTCTGTGCATTACCGAGGATTCAGGGGAAAGACTTCTTAGACTTTATATACATGCACCCAAAATTTACAGGTTGCAGATTCAAAGGAAGAGTTATTAATATGTCTCCTACAGGGGGAAGGCTTTTATTTGGTGTCTAAGGAAAATAATTTAAAAGAAGAAACTGAAGAACAAGAAGAAACATTCCAAGGAAACTTACTTAAGGAAGTAAAAGAACAAGAAAATGTGTATGGCTTTATGAAACCAGCTTGGCAAAAGTGGTCCATCAGTAGGAAGAAGGCTTAGGACTGGCCTGTGGAAGGTCTACATGTTAAATTTGGACACCATTCTTTCTTAGAATAGTGGTCTTAGGGTGCTACTAAAAAATGCTAAGAAAAAAAAAGTTCTGAAGACAGGGAGTAAAGAATCTGAAAACAATGTAGAAAACACATGAGCCAAGAGAGTCTACAAACAGAAAGTGAAGACTCTTCTAAGTACTAAAGCTCAAGGTGACTGAAATGGAAAGCAAGGAATGGGAATTTCAAAGTCCACATCTAGTTTTGTGATGAAATATAACATGAGGAAGAAGCAAGACATAATGAGAATTCTACACTTAACTCGTGGGGCATGACACTACTAATAGAAAAATCTATTTCAATATGGCTTCTGACATGTTGAGTCAAAAGAAGCAAAGAGAAATTAAAATAAAAACCCAGGAAAGAAGCAATTAAGAGACAAAAATCAAGACCCAAAAGAGACCAAGGCAACAGAGAAATACTGAATAGCCATCTAACAAATAAAGCCAAAGATGGTAGAAAAGGTAGGCCAAAGCACAGAAAGAAAAGGGCAGAGGCAAACAGAATGCACTCCTATTTAAGAGAAGTCACAGGATTACAAAAAGGCAGACAGAAAGACAGGAAAAGCAGATGGACATAAAAACAATGGAGCATAACAACAGTCATACCTACTTCAACGTATTTCCAACAGGAAAAATCAAGTATAAAACAGCAGGCAGTTACAAAACAAGCCAAACAAACAAAAGGAGTCAAATTAAACTGCTAGATGAAGAAAAAATAATGCCTTAGAGAAACAAGTTCAACAAAATGGTAGCTATAAAAGATTTTAGCGTGCTAAAGGAAGGAAGGGGAAAGCAAAAGGATGAGAGCATTAAAAAGCAGGTAGTCACAAGGGAATTCATAGCGAAATACAGTACAAACAAAACAATTCAGGAGCTCACCAAAAATTGTGACAGATATTTTCCTCCTAATAACAAAATGAAGTCAATGCAACTCACTAATTCATTAGACTTTGTCTTTTTCCAATAGAAAAATGTTCGTTTTTTGTCATGCATATTGTAAATGTATCCAATGAAGACTCAAAATGTAAGTACTCAAATTATTGTACAGTTTGACCACCAAGTACAGACAAATTATGAAGCAAGCTATTTTTGACATAATCATTTGACTAGTAACTGTTGAGCTTCTTTAGCACTTCAGATTATTAAATGGTTCAGTCTGAGGAAGTGCAGTTATATTTGATATCTTCCTCTTTTCAAAGCAAATTGTCAAGACTAGAATTTGTTTTACTTAAAAACAAAGCCAAATCTCTGAAGGCAAATATACAAACCATGGGATTTAGAAGTTAAGGAAAACAACTATTTGTATTTAATACACACATAAACAATGTTTTGCTTTAGATCCTTTGTGAAGCACATGTGTAAGAAGGATAATGTTTTTTCAGAAAACCAAACAATATTTACTGCTTACAGTAGTAAAGGACAACAAATAATATACAAATTGGTGAATAAAACACAATAGAGCCAATGAACACCCCACCTGAGCCTCACAGCAAAACAAACGAAACAAACACTATCCGCAAGATTTCAAGCAAGCAAAAGATGGTCATTTTCAGGCGACTATAAAAGGCAGAGAATGGCCAGAAAGCAGCAATGGATCCAAGAAGGGTAATTATGATGCTAAAGCATCATAAATAAAAACACCGAAATTATTCTTTTAACACTTACTTTAAGAATTTCATCCACACAGCTCACATCACCAGAAGCTGATGATGCCTTAAGAAAGAGGGGAGGGGAAAAAGCCCACATTAGAGTTGGAGTAGCTTATTAGACTTTTAGTATTTACTACACAGTTGTACAAAACACAACTATCCTTAAGTCCTTTCTCCTATCACTTGAGCTATGAGCTATGATTTTTGGCTATTGATATTACTTCTTAATTTTGTTATTGCACAAACTGTAAAAGATAAAATTTAAAGAAGTATTTATGATAACACTACTCTAAATCAGAATACTACTTAGAATATTTGGACTGGTTTCCCTAAACATAAATTTTTTTTAAGTACTAAAAAATCTAAATCACCAAACCACACAGCCCAGGAAACATTTCCATTTGTCTTTAAATTTTTTTTTTACATTTATTATACCTAAATTTAATATTTTAATATAACTTTCAGGTGAGCAGCTTATAAAAAATTCACAAGTTTAATCATATACAAAATCTATCATGATACTGTTACCATTTCACATTGACAAGCAGGGTAATATGAGCATTACTGAAAAGATGACTGATTTTTTAACACAACAGACATTTTACAGTCTTTCTTAAATCACAGAAGGTAAAGTACCTATTTTAAGGCACACATAGGAATCAGAAAGCTTAAGTCCTACCCTTAAGATGTTACTGTTTAAAGAAAGAACAAATTACCATTTACTGTTCTCTGGGGAGTAATTAGATGATAAACATAACAGTTTCCTAAGGCCACAGGAAGGATACTTAAATGTTCTCAAAACAGTAGTTTAACTATCCTTCAGTCCTTTTTCCCATCACTTGAGCTATGATTTTTGGCTATTGATATTACTTTTTAATTTTTTATTGCACAACCTATATCAAAAGATAAAATTCCATGTATCAATGTAATGTCACAATTAAATCCATAATTTTGCTAATTTAAAAAAGATTACATCATATATTACTTCATAATAAGTGCTCATTTCTTTGGCTATTTTCAATGCTATGTTTAAAAGTACGTTTTACATGTACTTTTACAACTGTCTCAATCCTTTAAGTGTAATCAGAGAAAAGAATGATAGCATCCAAACTACCATCTCCAAAGATTCAAATGTCCCACCATTTACCACGTGAACCACGACTTGTATCTTACTCATGAATGCTACTATAAGAACAAATAACTTAATTTTTTTTTTTTTTTGGGTCCGGTTGTGGGTCCTGAACTCTGGGCCTGGGCGCTGTCCCTCAGCTCTTCAGCTCAAGGCTAGCACTCTACCACTTGAGCCACAGCGCCACTTCCGGCTTTTTTCTTTTTGCTGATGTGGTGCTGAGGAATTGAACCCAGGGCCTCATGCATGCAAGGCAAGCGCTCTACCACTGAGCCACCTTCCCAGACCCTTAATTTTCTTTTTAAACAAAAGAAAACAAGGTATATTATTCTTTATAGAATCAATGTATGTGTGTATATATATATATATATATATATATATATATACATTTTTTATTTATTTATTTTTGGTTGGTCATGGGGCCTGAACTCTGGGCCTAGTTGTCCCTCAGCTCTTCAGCTCAAGGCTAGCACTCTACCACTTGAGCCACAGCATCACTTCTGGCTTTTTCTGCTTATGTGGTGCTGAGGAATCGAACCCAGGGCCTTATGCATGCAAGGCAAGCACTCTACCATGGAGCTACCTTCCCAGCCCCTCAAAATATTCTTTATAGACTCAATAGCAGGAAACCCAAGATATTAGTGGATCACACTTTTTTATTTATAATGGATCTGTCATCTGAATAACTGAAAACCATCAATGACTTTTAGCCTTTCCTTGAGAGGGGAAGTTTACAATTCTATGGATACACTTAGGAGTCAACTCACAGGTTTCCTCTAAACTTTTTTTTTCTCTACTTTTAAACCTTATACTCCTTACTATTAAGGGAAAAAGGCGGTTCCAAGTTTACTCAAAATTTCATGGCCAATTATTTCACACAGTCACAATGTTAAAAAGGTCTAAATGTGTGACTTACATCCAGTGGCTGGGAAGGTATTTTCAGCTTGGTGAGATGTGCTTTGCTGCTGGACTTCAGCTCAGTCATGCTGTTGCCATGGGACTGGCTGCTGTAGTGCTCAGAGGACAGCTTGGGTTCCATGGACTCCTGTCCATCCATGGGACGAACATAAGCAGTGGGTTTCTGTAACATCGAACTGGACTTTGACATCAACGACGGTGGGAAAGACTGATTTGAGTGCTGCCCACTTGAAAAGGGTACACGGGAAGGAGAATCCCAATTGGCATCAGGGTCCCGAGGAGACTTGGAACGCTGATGTTCCTTGCTATGGTGATCATTCCCATGAGACCTGGAATGACTAGAGCTTAGTGAAGAAACTGCCTGGGTTTTCCCAGGACTTGAAGATCGTGATTTGGAGTGTTCTGATCCATGCTGGCCTTTCTTCCGGCTACTGCTGTATGAGTCACGGTCATGCCTCTGACCACTACTATTAGTGCTGCTGCTACCACCTGCACTGGCACGCTGGCTACTGTGTCCACTCTGTAAGCCTGAAGACCGTTTCTGAGACTGAGAAGTGCTGGGTGCAGGTCCTACCGGAGTCCATTTACTACTCTGATGAGAACTTCCATGTCTCTGTTCAAAGAAATTTGGGTTTGATTTCTCATCTCCTGTTGGTGGTACTGTAGGCTTGGGAATTGCAACAAGCTTTGGTATAGATCTGTCTCCTATGAAATCCTTCATTTCATCGTAGTTTCCAAGCATACTCTGAATACGACTTGATAATTTATCTTCTTTGCTAGTCTACAAAAAATATAAGATAAAATTATATTAGCATAATCTGAAATAAAATATACTTCTAAAGCTGATTTTCTTAACTTTTTTTTTTTGTCAGTTGTGGGGCTTGAACTTTGGGCCTGGGCGCTGTCCCTCAGCTCTTTAGCTCAAGGCTAGGGCTCTACCACTTTGAACTACAGCGCCACTTCTGGTTTTCTGGTAGTTTACTGGAGATAAAAGTTTCACAGACTTTCTTGCCCAGGCTGGCTTTGAACCATGATCCTCAGACTCAGCCTGAGTAGCTAGGATTACAGGTGTGAGCCACTGGTGCCTGGTTGATTTTCTAACTTTCAAATGGAAAAGACCTTTCAAGGTGAGGCTTCATTTACCTCACATCCTAAAGTTAACATTTAGAAACAAACTTCAAATGTGTGTCTATGTACTTGTCTTTTGTTGTTGTTGGTTGTGATGGTTCTGGGACTGAACCCAGGGCCTCTCTCACATGCTAGATGAATGCTCTACCACTGAGTATACTCCCAGCGCTCAAATACATGATTTTCACAATCAAAGAAAATTTGTGTCTGAAAATAACCATGCTAAAACACAAATACTCTGTAGGACACAGAGAAATATATAAAGTGAATTTAAGAGAAAAAAATGAGCAAAACAATTTTCTTAAACCAGTAAACATATAGGAACAGCAGAAAAAAAGGGGGCTTTTGAGAAACAGTAAAGGAATCTGCCCTTATATGATTAAGTTCCAGGCCAGCAGATTAGCCAACATTCACGTTTTAGTAACTGATGTAAATAAACATTTCACACCTTCTAAGTCAATGTTAACAGTTAGGAGCAGAAACAAAAATGTAGTGAAACCAAGCAATATACAGTCATCTTGAAAAAAAAATTAATTCCTTCTGTTTATATGATTCATCCGTTAAGTCAGAAACTACCAAGAGTGGCAGTGTAGGTCAGCATATGTAAATTCCAGGTCTTAATCAGTATGATTAAGACATTAGAATTTGAGAGTAGCCTCAGCAAGTTCAAGACTAGCTTGAGTTACATAGTGAGAACCTGTCTCAAAAAAACTTAAAAAAAAAAAAGCCAAACAATAAATTAAGCCTCAAAAATTCATTGATAAAGTTTAAATCTGGCTATTAATTAAACCAACAAATTATTAAAATTTTAAATCAATGAGTTAAGTTTCAAATCAGGATAATGAGGAGGTCCAATATATCTATTAACTGTAAGATTTTCATTCATATATATGGAAGAAAGCTTACTGTTTATATTAAAAAGAAATCAAGAGCCAGGCCCTGGTAGCTCACACCAGTAATCCTAGCTATTCAGGAGGCTGAAATCTAAGGATTAAGTCCGTGAGACTCTTATTTCTAATTAACCACCAAAAAACTGAAGTGGTGCTGTGGCTCAAAATGGCAGAGTGCTAGCCTTGAGTGAAAAAGCTCAGGTACAGCACACAGGCCCTGAGTTCAAGCCCCATGACTAACAAAAGAAAAAAAAGAAAGAAAAAAATTAAGAATAAACTACCCCTATTTATTTTAGGATCTGCAAATAAAGCCTTTTGGTTGTTTGAAAATCTGTTTGATCTTATTAAACAAGACCAGCAAATATACAGCTACTTATAGGTAACAACAGGATTAGAAAACAAATCAAATTCATTACAGAGTAATTGCAAAATAAATGGTAGCATGATGCAAAAATTCCGGAGAAAATTTGATTTTTTTCAATATACTCTTAATCTCTAATCCCTAATCCATGGTGTTACATTCACATACACTATGTCAGCAATCATAAATGGTTTCTATAAACATCAAACTTTATGGGATAACTGAGAATACATTGCTACTTTTAATATTTCATCAGAAAGAAAGTCTAACACTCAATTTTATACTTATAGCTATAATACATAGTGTATCATCTATTACACATGATATATACCTTTAAAATATTAAGAACAGCTGAAATGAAATCCAAAGTCAAATTAAAAGTCAGAAAAATATCTTTTGCCACTAAAGCTAAAAGTTATGAAAGGTAGTACTTTTTGGTGGACATTATAATTTCAAATAAAGTAAAATGATAGTAATAAAAACAATTGGCCGGGTGCTGGTGGCTCACACCTGTAATCCTAGCTACTCAGGTGGCTGAGATAGGTTCAAGGCCAGCCCAGGCAGGAAAGGCCATTGAGACTCTTATCTCCAATAAACCACCAGAAAACCATTAGTGGCGATGTGGCTCAAGTGGTAGAGCACTAGCCGTGAGCTGAAATGTTGAGGGACAGTGCCCATGCTCAGAGTTCAAGCCCCACGACTGACAAAACAAAACAAAAAAAAAGCAATTGATGTAGGTACCAGATGTTCATGCCTAGCTTATTCAAGAGGTCTGAGGATAACAGTTTGAAACTAGTCTAAACAGGCAAATTATCTCCAATTAACCAGCAAAAAGCCTGAAGTGGAAATATATAGCTGCAGTGGTAGAGACCCAGCTAAGTGAAAGAGCTGAGTGAGAATGGGAGGCACTGAGTTCAAGCCCAAGTACTGGCACTAAAAAACAAACCAAAAGGGCTGGGAAGGTGGCTCAGTGGTAGAGTGCTTGCCTTGCATGCATGAGGACCTGGGTTCGATTCCTCAGCACCACATAAGCAAAAAGAAAAAAGCTGGAAGTGGCGCTGTGGCTCAAGTGGTAGAGCGCTAGCCTTGAGCTGAAGAGCTGAGGGACAGCGCTCAGGCCCAGAGTTCAGGCCCCACGACTGGACCTATAAAAAAAAAAAAAACCTAGGGGCTGGAAAGGTGGCTCAGTGGTAGAGTGCTTGCCTTGCATGCCTGAGGATCTGGGTTCAATTCCTCAGCACCACATAAGCAAAAAGAAAAAAGCCGGAAGTGACGCTGTGGCTCAAGTGGTACAGCGTTAGCCTTGAGCTGAAGAGCTGAGGGACAGTGCCCAGGCCCAGAGTTCAGGCCCCACGACCGGACCCCAAAAAAAAAAAAAAAACCTAGTAATTGACTTAACTTACCATTTCTGATAATATGCTAATGTAACTCTGGACAGTTAAGCACTGAATATATTAGAAAATCAAGAATATTTATGGGGCTGAGAATGTGGTTTAGTGGTAGAGAGCTTGCCTATCATGCATGAAGCCTGGGTTCCTCAGTACCTCATAAACAGAAAGAGCTGGAAGTGGTGCTGTGCCTCACGTGCTGGAGTGCTAGCCTTGAGCAAAAGAAGCTCAGGGCCAGTGCCTAGGCCCTGAGCTCAAGTCCCAGAATTGGCACAAAAAGAGAGAGAAAGAGAGAGAGAGATAGGGGGGTGGGGGGGGGAGGATAGGAAGGGATGGGAAGGGGAAACAAAGGAGGAGGCTACAATGCTTGATAAGAAATGTACTCATTATCTTGCCCATGTAATTGTAACCCCTCTGTACAGTATTTTCACAATAAAGAGAGAGAGAGAGAGAGAGAAAGAGAGAAAATTCAGGTCTATGATAATAAAAAAAGAACCAAACATACTAATAACACATTTATTCAAACACACTAATAGTCAATGAAACTTAGTAAATTAAGTAGAATGGCAAGAAGTAGGGGGAAACAAAATGATCTATAAAAATCATCTTTTTTTTTTTTTTGGTCTGTTGTGGGGCTTGAATTCTGGGCTGAGGTGCTGTCCCTCAGCTATTCAGTTCAAGACCAGCGTACTACCATTTGAGCCACAGTGCCACTTCTGGTTTCCTGGTGGTTAGCTGAAGATAAAGAGTCTCACAGATTTTCCTGCCCAGACTAGCATTGAACTTCAATCCTCAGATCTCAGCCTTCTGAGTAGCTAGGATTAAAGGTAGGTGCCAACAGTGTCTGCCCACATTTTTTTTTTTTGGTCTGGTCCTGGGGCCTGAACTCTGGGCCTGGGCACTGTCCCTCAGCTCTTCAGCTCAAGGCTAACGCTCTACCTCTTGAGCCACAGCGCCACTTCCAGCTTTTTTTTCTTTTTTTGCTTATATGGTACTGAGGAATCGAACCCAGGGCCTCATGCATGCAAGGCAAGCGCTCTACCACTGAGCCACCTTCCCAGCCCTCTGCCCACATTTTTAAAGAATACAGGACAGCAATGAGATGGGAATTCAAGGACATCTAGTGTGTAATACTCTTTTTTTCTGATATGAACACTGATTATCTGAGGTGGTTTGTGTGGTAAAAATTCTTCAAGCCATAACACATTTTATATACTTTCCCATATGCATTTCATTAGTACGGAAAAAAAAGTATGTTCCATTTACAAAAAAAAAGAAAGAAAGAAAGAAAGCAAATGTTTTTGTTTTGTTTTGTTGTTAGTCATGGGGCCTGAACTCTGGGCCTGGGCGCTGTCCCTCAGCTCTTCAGCTCAAGGCTAGCACTCTACCACTTGAGCCACAGCGCCACTTCCAGCTTTTTTCTTTTTGTTTATGTGGTGCTGAGGAATTGAACCCAGGGCCTCAGGCATGCAAGGCAAGCGCTCCACCACTAAGCCACATTCCCAGCCCAAGTTTAAAACATTTTAAAAGTAAAAGGGTTACATAGATGGGGAAAAAAAGTTTCAAACTTACAACTTTGTATGGCTCAGCAAATAGAGGGGAACTGGGTGGGAAGGCGTCTTCACCCTGCTGAATTTCCTGATTCCGCCTTTCCCGTTCTTTCATGCGCAGCACATTCCGGTCCTCACGGTTCATGTTGCTATGAGGAGAAACACAATTTTCACATAAAATAAGAAACATTAAATCCTCTGTACAGATTTTGCCAGTTGAATACTCCAATTGGAGATGCTCTTTTAACTTACAAATAGCAGGCATAGGTACTCAAGGTGGGATTTTTAAATAGGTTTATCAACTATTATCATAGCATCTTCTACAAATAGCCAGAGAGGGGACACTATTCCAGAATATTAGCACTCACTCCTCTATGTAGATAACATTCTTTAAAAAATGCTGTACTAGGAATTGAACCCAGATTCTCACACATAATAAGGCTAGCCCAAACTTACCATCTTTGAAGCATTTTGCTAGTTGTCAGTGAAAACTTGTATATTTAGAGGAAAGATACTAGTTGAGCTTCAATCATCAATATTTCCTGTAAGTTTTTCATGGCTTTCACTTCAAAAATCTAACTACCCTTTGCCCTTAGAGATAATACAACCCACTCCAACCTACCACCCACTTCCCTGGGGCCAGCTCTTTCTCTACTTCACATCTACCTTATCTTGATTTCTTTTTGTCCCAAACACAGCTTCTTTGGTGTCCATCCTTATGGCAGTTTGACCTCAGCTTTGCTGTTGCTCTAGATTCCCTAAAAAACGACATTTCTGCTCTAAATATATTAATATTACAATAAGCACCTCAATAAATGGCAAAACTAAAGATTTGAGTGATAGAATCTAAAACTAGCAATTGGTTAATAATTATAATTCAAAATTGTATTACCAAAAAAAAGTCTTGGCTGGGAGAAAAATGGGAATGTAATTTCTACTATCACCATAGTATGTTTATTTTCACTAGAACAAACCAAGGGCTACAGCTTATTTATAGCAGCAAAGGTTGCAGAGACAAAGATGGAAAAAGTATCAAACTCTGAGGTAAGAGATTACCACAGCCTTTGACACATCTTTTTTCTGAAGACAGATTAAAGCATCTTTCTTGATTTTTTTTTTAAAGAGTAACTAAGGTGCTTCATTAGCACAGTAGGTAGAGCACATCAATCTCATAAAAGGATAAGACACGCCTATGATCCTAGCACTGGACAGATGAGGCAGGAAGATTCCAGTTGAGGCCAGTCTGGGCTACAGTGTAAGTCCCTGGTGGCATGGATTACATAAGATCTTGTCTTAAAACAAACAAAATCCATGGGGCTGAAAGTATGGCTCAGGTTGTAGAGCATCAGGCAATGAGGGAAAGTGTCGGACAAAGAGTGAGACAAAGTCTCAGTCTCAAACAAAAAAAAATTTTTTAAATCCAAAAGGAAAAGTCAAATTATACCTGTAGAGTATTTCTAGTTTATAATTTTAAACCAAATCAGAAAGGGAAGTCAATCAAGACTAAGGGAAACTATAATTATAAAATTAGAATGGACAGCAAAACCAATATACTCTTGAGGGCTTTCTTTTGTGGTTAGAGAAAACAAACATCCAAAAATAAAACATGGTGGTTTGTACGATTTAGTATCATGCAAATAAAGCAATTTAATGTGGAGAGAGAAGGAAGCAAAGAGGAAGGAAGGAAGGGGAAAAGGAAGGGAAGGAGAAAGGAAGGGAGAAGAGAGATCTAAGTGCTTGAAATGTATATTTAAATTTTTTACCTGCATAATATTCTAGTAAGTGTAAATAAGAATATAACTTGTTGAGTGTTATATAATATACTATGGGATTTCTGCTTTCTCTAATAATTAGAGGGTGACATGAAACGTATTTTAATCACTTTAAAGAATCCATGCTTTACTTGGAGAATGAAACCAAAGAACGACGTCCAGTATTTGTTTTTTTGTTTTTCTTTGTTTTTGGTCCTGTCGTGGGGCCTGAACTCTGGGCCTGGGCGCTGTCGCTCAGCTCTTCAGCTCAAGGCTAGCACTCTACCACTTGAGCCACAGCGCCACTTCTGGCTTTTTTTTTTGCTTATGTGGTGCTGGGAAATCAAACCCAGGGCCTCATGCATGCAAGGCAAGTGCTCTACCACTGAGCCACCTTCCCAGCCCGACCTTCAGTATTTGGACCAACTAGTAGGTTTTTTATTACTCACATCCAGTCTCCTGGATTATGGTGCTACCAAAATACAAAGTTAACCAGGGGCTGGGAAGGTGGCTCAGTGGTAGAGCGCTTGCCTTGCATGCATGAGCCCTGGGTTCGATTCCTCAGCACCACATAAGAAAAAAGCCGGAAGTGGCACTGTGACTCAAGTGGAAGAGCACTAGCCTTGAGCTGAAGAGCTGAGGGACAGCGCCCAGGCCCAGAGTTCAGGCCCCATGACCTGACCAAAAGAAAAAAAAAAAAAGAAGTGCATATCCTGATACTTACTAATAAAAGAAATAAACAACAAAAAAAAAGTTAAGCAGGGTCAAGCAGGGCACTGGTGGTTTATACCTATAATCCTAATTACTCAGAGAAGAATGAGATCTGAGAATAATAATTCAAAGCCAGCCTGAACAGAAAAGTGTGCAAGATTCTTATTTCCAGTATCAAAAAAGCAGCTCAAATTGGAGCTGTGGCTCAAGCAGTAGAGTGCTAGCCTTGAGCAACAAAAGGCTTAAGACAGCACCAGGCTCTGAGGTCAAGCCCCAGGATAGCATCAAAAATTAAAATAAAGTTAAAAAAAAAAAAAAAAAAAAAAGCAGAGTCTAAGGACATGTTAACTACCAGTTTTCCAAATTTCCTACATCCAGATCCTGAAAGATTATATAATGAATGTAGCATGATTAGCATGCGTAAGGTCCTGGGTTCTAGCCCCATTATCAAACACAAAAATAAAGCAAAACAAAGCAAAAAACTGAAAGAAGAAAACTACTTTAAAAATATCTGAGGCCAGGCATGGTAGCTCACACTTTTAATTCTAATGATTTAAGAGGCTGAGATTAGGATGATCAAAGATGTAGGCCAGTCTGGGCAAGAAAGTTCTTGAAAAACATCTCAGCCAATAAAAAACTGGGTGTGGTGGCACTCGCCTCCTAGCCTAGCTACTTGGGAAGCATCACGGGCCTGGCCAGTCTGGGCAAAAGTGAGACCTTATTAAAAAAACGGGAAAATGGGTTGGGGTGTGACTATAGAGGCAAGGTACTTGCCTTGCAAGTACAAGGCCCTGAATTCCAAATCCAGTGGCACAAAAGAAGAAGAAAAAAAAGAATACAAATATTTATATGAACTAAGAACTAATGCATGCATTTGTAATCCTAGTTCGAGACAGAGGCAGAACTGCTTGAGCCTCAGTCAGGTCCGGCCTGGTCAAGAAAGTAAGACCCTCTCTCAAAGCAAAGAAAGGGAAGAAAGAGGAGTGAGAAAGTGAAGGAAAATATTTGCATATTTATTGTATTAAAGAAGAAGAAGACATGTTTCCCAGAACAAAATTCCCTCTATGATTTAATTTAAAGGTTGTTTTTTTTTTTGGGGGGGGGGGGGTTTGTTTGGGTTTTTTTGCCAGTCCTGGGGCTTAAACTCAGGGCCTGGGCACTGTCCCTGAGCTTCAAGGCTAGCACTCTACCACTGGAGCCACAGCATCACTTCCAGCTTTTTCTGTTTGTGGTGCTGAGGAATCGAACCCAGGGCTTCATTCCCAGCCTGGAAATATTTGGTTAACAGTGAAAGTCATCCAACCTAATATTTCCTTTAACAGTGCCACCAGAAAGCTCAGAATTAAATGAACTGATTGTTTATAATCATTTACATTCCATTGCAACTCGTTAATCTCCTTTTTCTAATCTAACTTATTTTTGTGTTTATTTTAGAGATTTCATTTTCTTCTTGTACCTATCTCTGACTAAAGTTTTTCCCCAAACTAAAAATTCCAGTAATGTGAGTTCCAATAAATTAAGCAACTTAAACAAGAGTCAATCTAAAGCATACATCTTTGCTGTATAAGCAAAACTTTTATAGCCTATCCCTCAGGAAACTAGTTTAAACTATTGAAATGAAAAAGAATTTAGTCAAAATTAGAAAAATGCTACATCACAACAAATTACTATATTAAATATTTCTAAAAAGAAATATTGCAGACTGGAGGCATGGCTCAGAACATCAGCCAATGAGAGAAACTGTCAGACGCTGAGTTCAGGTCCTGAACAACAAAAAAGGCAGAGGAGAGAGAGAAAGAAAATGGCAGACTAGAAAAAAGCATAGCCAAGTGATAGAGCATCACCTGTAAACAACAAAACATGAGGCAAAGCATGAGACCCTGAGTTCAAGGCCTGGTACTTGCACACATACCAAAAAAAGAAGAGGGGGAAAGGGGGTAAGGGGGAAAAGGGGGAAGGAGGAAAGGGAGGAAAGAAAGGAAAGGAAGGACGCAAGGAAGGAAGGAAGGGAGGGAGGGACGGAGGGAGGGAGGGAAAGAAAAAGAAAGAAAGAAAGAGAGAGAGAGAGAAGAGGAAGAAGGAAGGAAGGAAGGAAGGAAGGAAGGAAGGAAGGAAGGAAGGAGAGAGGGGGAAACTAGTAAAAAGGAAAGGAAAAGGGAAAGAGAAAATGGCAAAGTAGAAATGAGGGTTATTTCAGGCAAGACCCCATTCTCAACAAATAGCTGATGAAGGTGGCAAGCATCTTACATCTTAGCTACTTTGGGAAGCAAAGAAAGAAGACTGTGGGCTGGGAAGGTGGCTCAGTGGTAGAGTGCTTGCCTTGCATGCATGAGGCCCTGGGTTCAATTCCTCAGCACCACATAAGCAGAAAAAGCTGGAGTGGGGCTGTGGCTCAAGTGGTAGAGCACTCACCTTGAGCTGAAGAGCTGAGGGACAGCACCCAGGCTCAGAGTTCAGGCCCCTTGACCAACAACAAAAAAGAAAAAAAGAAAGAAAGAAGACTGTGTGCAAGTTGGTATGGTCATAAATGTAATACTTTATCCACAAATGAGTAAAGAGCTTAAATGCACAAAGCCCTGAGTTTAATCTTTAGTACCAACAACAACAACAAAAAAGGCTATCTAAAATTTGTAATTTCTAGGTTTGGTGCTAGTTGATAGTGCAGCAATTTCATTTCTACAGACTGA